TTGGCTGAACTGCAGGACTTACAGAAATGTTGATCTCGTCAATTCCTTCATTTCAGTCTCTTGATATTTGTGAGTTTCTCAGCATTTTATAGCGCACACAGTTGCTCTTATATGACTTTTTACTTCCTACTTTGCTCATAGTGTGTGTATGCCGCAAAACAATTGAGGAACCCTTTATATATTGGCTGTGGTTCCAGTACTGAGACCAGCAAAGTTAATTCCAGATATATGTTGTGGCTTTACAGTCAGATAAGAAGTCAAGGTTTTCTTAATGTAAAGAACAGCACTGAGCTGAATGGTTTTGCACTTTAAAAGATTTGTTTAGCTTCCTATGTCAAAGGTCACGTCTGAGAACTCCATGCGTCTTGTGTAGTATGAGCTCTTCTTTTATTGCAGATCACAGCTTGTGTAGCGTCTGTTGTTGTGATGTTATTGTTTGCTTTATTCAAGAATATATTTCATACCAATAAATATACAAAGCAGTGCTTTTGTCATTTGTGTGCTAAAGTAAACATGTTGCGGGGTGTTCTTTTATGAAAGAATTAAAGACTTCACATGAAACTAAGAGTTCAAATGGTTGCACTAAGTGTATAAAAACTGACAGATATACACTCACTTTATTAGGTACACCTTACTAGTACCGGGTTGGACCCCATTTTGCCTTCAGAACTGCCTTAATCCTCCTTCGTGGGATAGATTCCTCAAGGCACTGGGAATATTCCTGAGATTTTGGTCCATGTGTACACATCATCACGCAGCTGTTGCCAATTTTGTCAGCTGCACATCTATGATGCGAATCTCCTGTTCCACCACATCCCAAAGGTGCTGTATTAGATTGAGATCTGGTGACTGTGGAGGCCATTTGAGTACAGTGAACTCATTTTCAAATTCAACATTTTTCCAATCTTCTATAGTTCAATTTTGGTGAGCCTGTGCGAATTGTAGCCTCAGTTTCCTGTTCTCGGGAGAGGCATCCAATGTGGTCTTCTGCTGCTGTAGCCCATCTGCTTCAAGGTTTGACATGTTGTGCATTCAGAGATGCTCTTCTGCACACCTCGGTTGTAACGAGTTATTTGAGTAACTTTTGCCTTTTTATCAGTTTGAACCAGTCTGGCCATTCTCCTCTGGCATTTGCATTCACAAAACTGCCGCTCGCTGGATTTTTTTTTCTCTTTTTCTGACTTCTCTGTAAACCTTTGATATGGTTGTGCGTTTTTGAAATACTCAGACCAGCCCGTCTGGCACCAACAACCATGCCACATTCACAGTCACTTAAATCACCTTTCTTCCCCATTCTGATGCTCTGTATGAACTGCAGCAGATCATCTTGACCAGGTCTACATGCCTAAAAGTATTGAGTTGAGATTGGCTGATTAGAAATTTGCATTATTATATGAATGTTGTTCATTTTAACTTTAACAAATAATTCTTTAGATAGAAATAGACAGAGTTTATCAAATCGAAGCATTTAACTGTTTGAACTATATATTTCCCTCTGCATTTTTAAATATACAGTCTTGGCCACAAGACAATTGATAATTAATCAAATAAGAGTTTTTTTTATCTTAAATCACAAAAAAAAAAAAAAAACATTTAATTATGAATGTTTTATTAATGATTCAAATGTAAATAAAAATATTAATAAAATAATAATAATTTATTAAATAAATGTCTTCATAGAGCATAATTTTGCTTCATATTCAAATGATTTTAAACATAAAAGCACAATACTGACCCATACAATGCAGTTTTGGCAGTAGCAAAATATACCCATGTAACAAGACTGCTTTTGTGGTCCAGGGTCAAATTTAGCGTCAGATTTAACAATAAAATTAGAAATTCTTAAGACAATATCTCATCAGCCAGACCTTCACCAGTTAATAAAAATGTCAAATGAGCCAATAAAGTCAAAGTTTAGATGTATTTATTTCTGACAGTTTCACATACAAATGAATGGACAAACACAACACAAAGCAGAATGAGAACTCACAAACACACAACAGTCCAGTTCATATCATACATAACTACAAAAACCATGAGCAGAACGTCTGTACATATACTTTATACAATTATCTATTTTCATATATACAATAAAAATGAACTATGTACAGCAGTTTTCCTTTTCTTTCCCTAAGGGAGAAAAATAGACAACACATCTAAAGATGCAGATTCACAAGAAAAGGGCTGATCAGACTTGATAAAAGTGCCAATTTGACAATCTTTGAGTCGTCAAACGATTAAATACTACACGCCGCAGCACACAGTCCAAACGCTTATTTTAAGTTAATTTAAAGGGATAGTTCACCTAAAAAAAAAAAATTTTTACTCACCTTCAAGTGGTTTTTAACAAGAAAAACTCCTACAGGTTTTAAAGGGTGAGTAAAATATGTGCTTTTACATATTTAACAGGTTACCAGCACCAGAAATCACATCATACAACAGACACATTATCATTATCCAGGCCAAAACAAACCAAAATCTCTGTAGGACGTACAATATTTAAGAACATCTTGTTTAAGAACATACAACTGATTCCAGATGTTCAACAAGCGCCAATTTGTGCACAAACACTGGTCCTTGAGTTTACCCTGATGTCCAGCAGCTTTATATTTCCTGAAATACATTTGTTCTAGTTAGTGCTTCATAGCCAAGAGAGTCGCAACAGTGACGTGCTACCATGTTTCCAACCTGATAACAACTGGAAACCTGCCAAAATGATTCATTTCTCCCACGTCCACCATAACACACTGTAGTAAACGACAGAAGTCAAGATGACACAAGTTTTTAGTTGACTTTAAATCTCAAAATAAATATTCAAAGAAGTTCAACTTAATTTTTTTTAAGGTCTACAAAATGTAACAATGTTTTAAGTCAGATTAATGTGATCAAGTTGATTAAAATTCAAACAGTAGCAAACAAAACAAAGATTGTTTTAAAAGGAACAAACACAACATTATTATTTTTGACTGTCGCCTGGTCAGTTTGTGAATTGCTTTGGAAACAGCTCCTGGCCAGCAGAGGGCAGAGTATGATTGTCTTTAATATTTAGCTTGTTTAGGATTTAAACAACAAAAAGGTGGCTGCTGGTGTGCTGTTATATTGCTAAAATGGATAATACTGAGCTAAAAAGCAGCGCTTGAGTCTCATTTGTAGCATAAATGTTGTTTAACAGCTTGTGTGTTTGGGTTTGCATTGTTTGTTAATGGTTCAGGAAATATTGTCTGTGATTGTAACTGTTTTTGTTTGTCATATGTTCGGGAGACGTACGATTGTTTTAATCTGCAGGGATGCAGCATTCATCTGATTAAAAGTGACAGTAAAGCTCTTTGGATGATATTGCTAGCATTATATTTATCTAAGAAATCTGAATAAAAGTATCTATATGCTGGATGTAGTTTGCTTTCCTGATTAATCAGTTTTTAAAATGTGATTGATTTGATATTGATTTTTTTAAAGCCACATTTGATTATCAAAGAAATAGGTGTTATTTCACTTAAATTTAGTCTTCATTAACCGTCAGCATTAAACCTGTATTCACTGAATCAGGAGAGCTGAATTGAACTGAAATGTGAGTTGGTGAATCAAATAAAGTTGAATTGTGAAATCTGAACTGATACTGGGTGTTGGTTTATTAGTCACCTCATATCAGAATGATTTACTGAAGAAACTTGCGACTGAAGACTGCACTAATGGCTGTGTCAAAAAAAATAAATCACATTTTACATAATACAATTGGGCATTATGGTGGTGCAGTGGGTAGCACAATTGCCACAATTACAGGTTTGACCCCTTGCTGGGTCAGTTGATGTTTCTGTGTGGAGTTTGCATGTTCTCCCCGTGTTCGCGTGGGTTTTCTCTGGGTGCTCCGGTTTCCCCCAAAGACATGTGGTAGTGGTGAATTGGGTAAGCTAAATTCTCTGTAGTGTTTGTGTGTGAATGAGTGTGTATGGATGGTTCATTCCGCGGTGGCGACCCCACATTAATAAAGAGATAAATGAATGAGTGAATATTAATACAAATTAAATACTTTTGTGTTTGTTGAAAAGTTTAAAAGGTAACTGTAAACATCTTTTTTTTAGCATCATAAATGTCTTGACTGTCACTTTTGACCAGTTGTTTCATTCAAAGCGATTCTTACCATCTTCATAGATTGAGCTATTTGCCCTCTGCGTGACTTATGATTATCTAAACACATCTGATCCTTAAACTTCCATGCAAACATACACTATATGACAAAAGTCTTGTCGTCAATCGCAGTAGTAAGAGCAACAAATAATAACTTTAAGTTGATCATTTGGAAAAGTGTCAGAAGGTGGATTTTTCTGATGAATCATCTGTTGAACTGCATCCCAATCATCACGAATACTGCAAAAGACCTATTGCAACCTGCATGGACCCAAGATTCTCACAGAAATCAGTGACATTTGGTTAAGGAAAAATCATGGTTTGGGGTTACATTCAGTATGGGGGTGTGTGAAAGATGAATGGCAACATCAACAGCCTGAGGTATGAAGACATTTGTGCTGCCCATTACATTACAAACCACAGGAGAGGGCAAATTCTTCAGCAGGCTTGCACTCCTCATACTTCAGCCTCCACATCAAAGTTCCTGAAAGCAAAGAAGGTCAAGGTGCTCCAGGATTGGCCAGCCCAGTCACCAGACATTAACATTATTGAGCATGTTTGGGGTAAGATGGAGGAGTTATTGAAGATGAATCCAAGTAATCTTGATGAACTCTGGGAGTCCTACAAGAATGCTGTCTTTGCCATTCAGATGCCTTTGTTAATAAGTTAATTGCAGAGATGTATGGTTGCAGTCCGCCAAGCTCATGGGAGTCAAACACAATATTAATTCTTTTTCCACTGCAGCATGACTTTATATTCTATACTGAACATTATCTTTTTTTTAAGTGACAAGATTTTGGTCGAAGCAAAGTCAGACTTTACTGTCCTAATTAAATCAATAAATATCAAGGCATGATTACATTTTATTTTGGTAAAATAAGTGTAATCTAGAGGCCTTTGCCTTTCATTTAAGGCCACTTCTGATAGCAAATGATCAACTAGAAGTCAAGTTATTATTTGTTGTTCCAAAAACTTGTATAGGCAACAAGTCATTTGTCAGGTAGTGTATACAGCCACATCTGCTGACCACTGATTACTGGATTTCAGCGCAGTGCTATTAGATTTTACATAATATCCACAAAAAACTCACAAGGGTTGCCCATTGCATGCTGGAAGGACTGTCGACTGGCGGTGAGTTCAGGTGGTATGGCCCCCATTTCCCTCACTGGAGGGGCCCCCGGGGGCCCACTGCAGACGGCCCCTTTAGGAGTCAATCTAGCCAGGCTGTATGGAGGAGGCAGACCTGGGGGCCCATAAGAAGAGGCGTGGCTCCGTTCGCTGAGTGCACAGGACGTGTGGCCATATTTGGTAAAAGGGGCGTGGCTGTAGGAGAAGGAAGTACGGCTGTGCTGTGAGGGGACTCGTGAGTGGGTGTGGCTACGGGATGACAGGGCGTGGCTGCGGTGGCTGAGTTGGCTGGCTGAACGCTCAACCCTCCTCCCTCCTGCTCGCTTGCCTGAATCTGATTCGCTGCCTGTTGATTTGCGCTCCTTTTCCCTCTGTACGGCCCGCTGGATTCTCCCAATGCTAGGGTTGGAACTACTGCTGCGACTTCCTGGGAGGTAAACAGAAGTTTGTATTGTTAAATGAAGAGCAAGAGGTGATGGGAAATGTTCTTACATTTGATATTTATGATTTTTACAGAAGCTAAAATAACAATGTTCAACGTAAGCCAAAAATGACCTCAAAGAAAACAATAAAAAGCTCTGATCTGGTTGTGGAGAAGAGGGAAACATATGTTGAAATGCTTATTGAAAAGTTTCTATTTTCATCTATTTTTACATTTGATGTCTTCTTTTGATTCAAAGCAGTATTTTTAGCAACGTTACTTCACGCAGTCTTCAGGGTGATCCTCTAGAAATCAGTCCAATTTGCTGATTTGACTTCAAATCAACTAAACACTAGCTTGCTAAAATCATAATAATAATTAATAACTAGAAAAGTAAAGTTCGTAGACAAACTTTATGGTGTTTTGGGAAAGCCTATTCTGAAAGTTTGAAGTAGTTTTAAAGTTTAAATCACTGAAGTAGTTTAAGTTGTTAGAACTATTTACAGATTAGCAGGTTTCTAGTATGGATTGCCATGTTCCTTGCTGGAAAATTGACACATCTTGGGGATGGTGTGTAGATTCATCAAGCAGAAGCCATGTGCTGTTGTGAAGACTGCCGCCTCAATCTCTTGCTGCTTTTGGTGTTAAACTCTGATCGAAATATGGCAGAAAAAGTATGCAGCATGCTCAGTCTCCATCGAAATTATGAAACAAAAGAAAGCAGAATGCAGTAGCTCAGAGTAGCTAAGCTCTCAGGTTATGATCTTAGAACTGATTTAAGAAAGATTATTCTGGCATTTGGTTGAGATTGAAATACTGCAAGCACAGAAACTGACGGTAACATTTTAGGGGAATAAAAAAGAAGCTTGTTTTGTTTGAGAAGATAAGACTCTGTGTGACTGCACTAGAACTGTTCTCTTGTTTGGCCCTCACCTTGACACTGGTTTGATCTGTAAAAGTAACAGAGACATGCCTGAGCAAAAATGTTCAATGTAGGTCTGTGCAAATGTGCGGCTTATTTGTTGGGTTTATATATTCTTAATTTTATATAAGTAGCATAAATGGGGGTTTCAAATGTTAATTTGATGGATGAAGTTAACCTCTTAAAGTTCTAAAACCCATTGTCGACTGTAAAAGCATTACCTTTGAAAATGGATGTCAACTCTGATATCTTTTAGGATGGGTTTAAGTAAAAAGATCTCTCACTCTCTTTCACTGAAAGTCAGCTAAAAGCTGCTTTCTGCTTGTGTCATAACAAGTGATAAGCGCTGTCTTTCAGCTGGAAATCACAGACCCTGAGATGTAAAGGAAATGCTACATTTCAGATGTTATGCACTAACAGAGTAATTAGTGATTAAACCTTGCATTTAAGAATAAGAGAGCTTTTGTTGAAGCATCTTTTAAATACTAATATGCACCCTGAGCTATAGACCTAATAAATTTGAACTGTTTTATTACTGTAACTTTTTTTTTTCTCCTCTTCAGTGTTGTTACTGCTTGTACTGCTAGGGTCACACCTCTACTCTTTACGAGAAGTGCCATGGGATTTTTAATAACCACAGAGAGTCAGGTCCCCGGTTTAACGTCTCATCATAAAGACGGCGCTCACTGACACTATAGTGTCCCCTTCACTATACTGGGGCATTAGGACTAACACACACCACAGCTTGAGCTCCCCCTCCTGGCCTCACTAACACCACTTCCAACAGCAACCTAGCTTTACCATGTGGCCGCCCATCCAGGTACTGATCAGTCTCAGCCCTGCTTAGCTTCAGTTTTAAGCTGCAGGTGGATATGTCTGCGGCCATAACTGCAAACTTCACTAAACTCTATTTTAATTGAATCTCTATTTATAGCTCTTCTTGACAGACTCCTCATTATTGGGTTAAATATGTTTATGTGTGTGTGCGTTCTTTCTTTTCTATAAGACCAAACGCCTGCCAGATATTTTTACATAGATTTTTCTTCATCTACAACATAAATAAGTGCACATAATAGTTGGGCTCTGTTGTTAATAGCATTTATTAATATATTAATGCAAATCTATACAGTAGCCTACATTCACTTCAGTTCACAAAAAATAAAAATGTTTTGTTCCTCCTTTTCTATTGAACCAGGACTGAACCAACTCAAATCACCATCCAGATCATGAAGTAAACTCAGTTGCTTAACAAAAGTAACATCTCATGAGTTCTCATGAATATCCTCCCTCACTAACTCCATAATGACAAATGCTCTGCATTTCTTCCTCTCCGTTTCTTCACATCGCACCATCTTAACGTTTAAAAGAGAATGATTCAAACGGGATGAAAAATGAAGCCAATTGAAGAGCTGATGAAATACATCTATCACATATGCAATTATGTATTAAGCGTGGAGGATGATTATGGATTCAAATGACAATGCAAATGAGTGCATGAGGCGCTCCATCCTGAACAAACTGCAGACAAAAGCCACATCATTTCACTCTCACATTACAGGCATGACAAAGCTTTATACATACACGTGTGCGCATTACCAGACTACATACAGCATGTGTGTGTGTGTGTATGTGTGCAGTCATAAATATGACATGCTGAGAAATAAAGAGACGAGAGGTGAGGCAACAGGACAAATCCAGCAACAGAAAAAAAAACCCAGTCAGAAAGAAAGAGAGAGAGAAAGAGAGAGACAGAGGGAGGCTGCCTTACCGGACACCCCAGGGCTGGGACTCAACCTCCTCCATCATCAGTCTGCCATTGACCAGCAGAAACGAACAGAACATAACACAGTTAAGCCTGCTGTCTGTCTGTCTGACTGTCTGTCTGACTGACTCAATCATTAACTCAAGCTCTATCAGGTACAGTTTATCCTCAGTCTGAGTGCACCACAGCAACAACACAATCTAATATGTGCTCATATAACATGTTCATTTACATGTTGTGACGACATGTAACAGTGATTTAAATATGTTGACATCTAGTGTCGTCGGGATAGTGAAATTTTAAAACATCATTTATGATATTTGAGCCATTTACCAATGTCACATTTGTTTATGCAATTTAAAAAATGGTTAAATTATTAAAGTTTTAGAAAAGTATCAAGTTGGTAATAAAGTTATTTTCTTTGATAATATTTTTGTATGTAAAATGTGTCCCTGGACCACAAAGTCTTATGTGGCACAGGTATATTGCAGTATTTTGTGCCAAAAATCTTTAAGATATGAAGTAAAGATCAGTTCTCCTGTAAATATATCTAATCTAAGAGCTTTATTTGGATAAACCTAAAGGTGATTTTCTCAAAGTTTAGATTTTTTGAACCCTCAGATTCCAAATTTTCCAAAATATGTATCATAACCAAATATTGCCCTATCCTAATAAACCATGAAACAAAGTGCATTTATTCGACGTTCATGTAAAGTATAAATGTGGATTTTAAAAAATGTACACTTTTGCCTTTATTTGTGGTCCATGTAAATAATTTAAATTGAATTGAGATCATTTTATTGTTAATCTTACGCAATATCTTCTTAAAATATAAAGCAAGTTTGAGGTCAGTAAAATGTTTTGTTCTTGAAAAATTTAAATTCAGTAGTATGCTTATGTTACTCAAAACATTTATACTATTGTAAAATATTTCCTTTTCAAACATTTTTCCACTAAACGTTTTTCATGAAATAAATTGCGACTCTTAAAGCCCCGGTATATATTTAAATGAAATGAAAGAACAAATTTTGTTTGAGAGCAAAGAGAAACTCTAAAAGGCTGGGTGAGTCTTCTGGTTTGGAACATTCAGACAGCATTATGCTGCATGAGGCTGAGTTTTACATGCATTACGTTACTTGTGTGTACTGGTCTACCCCTAAACACAACAACAACGGCATTGTGAGAGAAGAAAAGATAATTGCAGAATCGCAATTGTAGCTCAAAGGTGTTTTGGAGTCAAGATGGAATGCTCTCAAAATTTCGCTTTGGCTATTAGTTTTAAACTGTTGAACCGGATTCAAAAAGAACTTCATTTTGGCATGAATTTGTTCAAAATGCCGTAATTTTAGGTCTTTTTCTGATTCCGTTTGATGTATACCGGGGCCTTCAGTCCAGTCTTTGTCCCTGTCAGAACTAGACTTTATCTTTAAATCTCACAATTCTAAGATAAGTCATAATTGCAATTAAATATAGATTTAAAATCTACATTTTTTCTTTGTATCTGTCTTCATAACAAAATTCATATAGAAAAACTGCTAAACTGCTAGAAGGAATATCATAATTACAGTTTTTTTTTCAACCAGCTGCACAAAAACAAAAACATTTTTAAGTTTCTTTTTATGTGTTAAACAAAAAAATAAACTTAAACAGGTTTGGGGCAAAAAATAAATTAATTATTTTGAAGATTGTAGAAGCCAGTAAGAACTACTATAACATCAGTTATCATAAGGCTGAGCAATTAAAATCGTGAAATCGACACTCAGAAACTATAATCGATCTAATTTTTCCAGGCACATTTTTTTCAATTACTTTTCCTACCATGTGTGGTATAGTCTGGTGCAGCCTTCATGCAGTCGCATACCCGTGCACCTCTCAAAAAAATGTAACTACATGTCGTAAGTTTGCACTACATTTACAATGACTGGAAGCTGCGCTAAAGACAGCATATTTTCCATTACAATCATACTATTATTTACATTGAAATATTTGTTTATAGGAGATTCAAGAAACGCACAGTTTAAAATATTATTTACAGGATATAAAAGAGTTATTTTATTTAGAAGAGATATTTTTAATATTACATTTTAAACATTGAAAATGATTAATTTTGTTTCCAAAAGTGCAAATTATTTATATTCACTATTTTATGAGAAAAAGTGACTGTTGGTTTTAGGCAATGTGTGTTTGCCCTAAGTTACTGGTTTCTAACATAAAGTAAAGATATATTCTTTTGTGTTAGATGTTAAATAGTAAATAGTCACTGAGTAAATAGTGAGTCAACTATCCCTCTGGGTGAACTATCCCTCTGAGCACCAAGTGACATTAAAAATTCTGCTAATAATTTTACAATCTTTTCAAATATAAAACTGTTATTTTAAAAAAAGGATTCACATTTCACAGTTGAACTTTATTCTGTGCTTATGTAACTATTGAATTTATAAATATACAAATATAAATTAATTGTATACACATTATAAATCTTGCTAACCCCAAAACTTTTAAACGTAATATATACGTACAAACAAATAAATGTCTGTGTTACGTTTATTTTCCACATAGCCAAACATCTGCCCTAGTTTTAACTTTGTTTACTTTGTTTGACTGCTTTTCTTGGCTTCTCCATATGCTTCAAACCACAGAACACATCCAAAGCTTTACTCAGGAGACGCCAGATCAATCCGACTACTCTCTACAGATGACACACACACACACACACACACACACACACACACACACACACACACACACACACACACACACACACACACACACATACACCCGCACAAACCTTCCTGACATCTTCACTGAGCTACACATGACATGTGAAATGATCAGGTTATGCAATAATGTGAAGCAGTGGATTGATATGGATATGTTTGTGGACTGCATCAGTGTTGAAGAGAAAAAGCACTAGAGAATGAGATGAACACAAGCACTGCAGGTGAAATCATGACATGATTCTGATCGCAGCCCATGGAAATCTTAAACGAGATCTTCAAATTTGGCCAAACGTGATGGAGACAATAAAGTGAGAGATGCCTGAAAGGTTTTGAAATTATAACCACCAGAGACCCCCCCAAAACACTACAGCTGACCATAATTGACCATAAATCTCTTTTGCTCACCAAGGCTGAAATTAGCTAATTATAATTTGAATTTTTAAAAAATGTTTATATTTCTAAGGTCTAAGCTGAAATATATTTATTATTTAAAAAGCACAATTTCATAGAATGAAAAAAAAAATCACAATTTCTACAAAAAAAAAAAAAGTCAAGGATGTTGGTTCGAGATATAAAAAAGGTACAAAGCACATTTAAGCAGGACTTAGCACACTGTTAGCATGTTGCTAGTATGTTTCTGTTATGTTTTTCTAATTTATTTTTAGCACATTACATCATGTTTATATCTTTGCTAGCATGTATTTTTCATGTTGTTTACATCTTTTAGTATGTTAATAAGGTTTCAGCACATTGCTTTAATGTTACTAGCATGTTTTACTATGATTTAGCACACTGTTAACATGTTGCTATTATATTTCTAGCATGTTTTTTCTGATTATCTTTTAGCATTTTTAGCACATTGTTAAACGTCTAGAACTTTGCTATTATGTAGTTTAGTATGACTTAGCACTCTGTTATCATGTTGCTAGTAGGTTTCTAGCATGTTTTTTTTCTAATTTACTTTTAGCATTTTAGCAAATTGCTATCATGTTTATAACTTTGCAAGCATTTAGTTTTCATATTGTTTGCATCGTTTAGTATGTTAATAACATGTTGCTAATGTGTTTCAGCACATTCCTTTAATGTTACTAGCATGTTTTACTATGACGTAGCACAATGTTAACATGTTGCTTTTATGTTTCTAGCATGTCTTTTCTTATTTACTTTTAACTTTTTTAGCACAGTGTTAAACGTTTACAACTTTGCTATCATGTATGACTTAGCACACTGTTAGCATGTTGCAAGTAAATTTCTAGGATGTTTTTGCTAATTTGCTTTTAGCACTTAAGCACATTACTATAACCTTTAGATTTTTGCTAGCATGTTGTTTTCATGTTGTTTACATCTTTTAGTATGTTAATAACATGTTGCTAATGTGTTTCAGTACATTGTTTTTAATATTATGAGCATTTTTTCAGTATGACTTAGCACTCAGCATGTTAGCATGTTGAAAGTAATTTTCTGCCATGTTTTTGCTATTTTGCTTTTAGCATTTTTAACCTTGCATCACCATCACATTTATAACCTTGCTATCTTGTTGCTTATATCTTTAAGTATGTTAATATCATGTTGCTAATGCGTTTCAGCACATTACTTTAATGTTACTTGCATGTTTTACCGCGACTTAGCAATGTGTTCCCATGTTGCTAGTGTTTCTAGTAAGTTTTTGCTAATTCGCTTTTATCATTTTTAGCACATTGCTATCACATTTATAACTTTGCTAGGATGTCGTTTTCATGTTGCTGACATCTTTAAGTATGTTAATATCATGTTGGTAATGTGTTTCACCACATTGCTTAAATATTATTAGCATGTTTTACCATGGCTAAGCACTCTGTTAACATGTTTATAGTATGTTTCTAGCATGTTTTGCTAATTTCCTTTTACCATTTATAACAACATGTTGCTTATGTGTTTCAGCACATTGATTTAATGTTATTAGCATGGTTTACCATGATTTAGCATTCTGTCAGCAGACGTTTGATTTAGCACATTGTCATATGTCATCATATTCATAACTTAGCTAGGTTGTCGTTTTCATGTTGCTTACATGTTTTAGTATGATGATATCAAGTTCCTAATGTGTTTCAGCACATGCTTTAATGTTATAGGAATGTTTGCGCACATTGCTAACATGTTTTAACAAATTGCCATGCTTTCACAATTACTTCAGCTCTGAATGATTTCTGCAGCATCCTGAGACACTGAATACTTTAGTAGCAATACATCTAAGCAATAAATTTAGCTTAACCATTGCAGGAATAAATTATTGTTTAAATACATTCAAAAAACAGAAATAAACACAGAAAACAGTTCTATTAAAATGTAATATTTTTAAATGCAGCCCTGGTGAGCATAAGATCTTAAAAATATTATAAATCTTAATTATTCCCAAATTTTGACCACCAGAAAAAGTGCAAGAGAACAGGATTATCTATTTCCTGTTTTTACATCATGCTAAAATAATGCTTTTATATGACCTAACTAACCTATTAGATCTTATTACAATATACTTCATAAGCTTCAGTGTATCTAGACGTGTAACGTGACGGATGATTTTCTACTTACCCTCACTGTGATGACTTCCAGCGCTGCCACTGTGGAAACTGTGGCAGGGGTCTGAATATCCTGGAGGGAAAGCAGGGGGCGCTGTGAAGGGTGGGTAAGGGAATGGCTGGCCACCCATGGGCCACGGGTTAGTGGACGGAGGAGGAAGAGGAGCCAAAGTGTCCTGCTCTGAACCAGCACCACTCGATCCCTCATTCAAGTTTAACGTAGCCATGTCTGAGGAGAAAGACAGAAGTTATAAAATTGATCAACATTAAACATATAAACAAGATAAAGCCTAGTGGAAGACATGAGCTGTACTTTGGCAGAGATCTCCAAACGTGTAGTAACACTGTTCAGAGAATGTGATCTTGTTGACAGTGTGTCTGAGATAGCCGTGTTTCAGCAAGCTGCTGGCGTATTTTCTGGCATCCCGGCGGTCTTTGAATCCTTCCACCCTTGAGTAAAGCCAGTCTACGACATCACCTCCTGCATCACAAACGATTCAGAAAGACCATAAATTCACAAATGAATCATAAAAGAACTATACTATACACTAAATGCTATATACTATTCACTTGTTATGGTCAACCGAAATTGAAAACCATAAAAAAATTACAATTACAGCAAATATTTATTTGACCAAAAATACATTAAATTGTGTAAATATTAACAAATAAAGCAATGTAATATTATTATAGTGCAAAATGATTCAGTCAGCTTTAAGGCTTCACTCAATTGATACTTTAGGAATCATACCAAAATGATAATTTGGTGCTCAAAAAAAAACAAAAAAAAAAAACGTTATACTAGCTTCTTCTGCATATTATTTTTGGGAAACTTTGATGCACTAACCTTCAGAAGTTATTATCTTTAATAAATTAGAACATATACACATTTATATTGTCTACATTTTATTTTGTTTTAAACAAATGTTGTTAATAAATCACTTTCAACAAAATATGTAAAAAAGCCAAAATAAACGAGTGTTAAGTGTGCCCTATAAAGAAAATCTGGGCATGCCAACACACAGTCGATTAATAAGAGTTCAGTAAGTGGAAATGGCTACACTGTGAGCCTCAAGTCCCCTTGTTTCCTTGTTACCATATAAATTCTGTGAGTGTAAAACCCCACCAATCAGAACACAATGCAGACTGTTGCACTGCTCAAGAGCATATTCATTAGCAGTATATTAGATTTCACCATTAACCTACAAATATTTGTGAAAATCCCCCCAAATATTTCAGTTAAAGTCACAAATATTAGCCCTCCTGTGATTTTTTTTGTTTGTTTTAATTAAATCCCAAACAATGAGAAACAAGCAAGGATTTTTTACAGTGTTTCCTATGTTTTTTTTTCAGGGGAAAATATTATTTGTTGTATTCCGTCTACAAAAGTAGTTTTAATTTATTTTTTGAACATTTTATGGTTGAAGTTATTAGCCCTCTTAAGCAATATGTTTTCGATAGTCAACAGAACAAACCAATGTTAGACAATTACTTGTCCAATTACCCTAACTTGGCTAGTTGATCTGATTAACCCAGTTAAGCCTTTACGCCCCATTCACACGGGGGCTTCAGCGTCAACGCTTTCCATTCACTTTAAATGGGTGACGTCAGGCATTGCCGAACTGCATCGTGGATCCGTCGGCGCTGCTTCAGAGGCGTTGCTCGCTAAAGAAGTTGGGACTAGCTCAACTTTTCATGTTGGCTGACGCTGCTATGACCATCACTTCAGCCCCAACTTCAGACACGCCTTCAGTCAAGCGTTGACGCTTAAGCCCCGTGTGAATAGAGCATTAAAAGTCACTTTAATCTGAATAGTGTCTTGAAAAATATGTAGTAAAATATACCGTCATCATGGCAAAAATAATATAAATCAGATAATATAAATTAGTTATTATTGGCACAAAGAATTAAAGAATCCTAAAAGTGAAAAATAAGCTAAGATATTAAGATGGGTTGAACATGATATTCAATTTAAACCTGCAAAACTAGATCTAAGATTTAAACAATGGAGTTTGCAAGGCATAACATCCTTCTGTCTCATCACTACTGATAATAAATTAGAAACTTTTCAACAACTTTTAAAGACATAACTTATATAAACAAGACTTTTTATGTTATCTTCGAGTTAAAGACTACTTTAATGAAAACATAAGAGATTCAGAAGACAGTAGCACAGGTATTTATAAAAACTTACAAAAAGAAGGTTAATAAGAAACTAGTATCTAGAAGAATTTATTCCTGTCAGACATTAACAAAGAAACACTCAACAATGTATAGAAAACAGAAATGGAAAAAGGAAGCCAATACAATTATAACAAATGAGGAATGATTAACCATTTGGAAAACACAGATGATCACAATTAATTCATAGAGGGAATTTATTTGAAAAATTTAATAAGGTTCTTTTTGACACCTAAAATAAAATACTTTTAAATTAGAGATCAAAAAATGGTAATTGCTGGAGAAAATGTGGACATGTATTGGCTGATCATTTCCACATATTTTGGGACTGTAACATTATACACACCTATTGGCAACATTTGAATAAAGAGATAAATACAATAATGGGATTGAATATGGAATTTAATTTCAAAACTATGTACTTAGGAATTTACTCTTCAAAAAAGCAAAAAGGCAATTACAAAGAAATGGCTCAAGGAAGATCCTTCATCTGTAAGTGAATGGCATGATATTGTAAAAGAGGTGTGTGATATGGAAGTACAGACATTTTCCTTGAGAAAACAAGCCAATAAAATGTCTGCATACTGGGGTAAATGGAAACGTATTGTTTAAATTTTATTGTGGTGCTTTCATATATATATATATATATATATATATATATCTGGGCCCGTTGATCTTTGATCCGTAACCCCTGACAAAATTTTATATAGGAACATTTTATCAACCATAAATATGAATGTAAATAAGATTGTTTTCGGTGAACTTTGACACTTGTATTGTATGTTTTTTTTGCTTACATTTTCCTTTAAAAATGTTTTTTTGTTGTTGTCCTGTTTGTTTTGTTCTGAACTGTTTTAAAAAAGGAAAAAAATCCAATATATATATAAAGAAATGAGTTATTAAAACTATTATTCTAAGAAATGAGTTCAAAAATTCTACTTCCGTTAAACAGAAATTGGGGACAAAATATACAAGGGGGCTGATAATTCAGGAAGGCTAATAATTCTGACTAACTGTAACTAATTATAAAAACTTCACCATAACAACAGTATCTTTAACAATACTGCTTTAAGACAGAACTCCGTGACAATGTAAACAGAACTCTCATGAGTGAGATGATTTTAAAAACAGATGATCAACAAGCGGAAACCCACAGCTCACCTATAACTGCATTAGCTATAGTGATCTTCAGCCACATTCTGTCCCTTATTTCTAGTCCTGAGTCAGGCAACTGCATCACCTTTACTATGGTGGCCATGTCTGTCTTCCCCATTGTAAGAGGGAGTTCATCAAACTCTGTGAAGAACAACGGGAGGATTAGATCATGTTTTACAGCAGAGAACATGCAGTCATCTGTTACGAGAAACACTGTACCGTTTTGTGGGTAAGATCCCGTAAGTGCAGTAGTGTGTGAAATCCATGCTGCTGGGTCAATGGGCCGGACTGGTTCAGCTGTGAAATATAAAAATGTCAAATAAGAAGGTTAAGTATCTCTGTTTATGTTATTATATCTAAAAAAAAAACAGCGTTTGTATGAACTGACCTCTGGGTATTGTAAAGTAACTGCGAGGGGAAGGGTCCCAGCATTTGGCAACAGTGAGACTGATGGGACTGCAAAAGTATAATAATGATTAGTTAAACATATTAACATAGCTTTCACAACTCAGGCATCTTTCTTGTCTTCATTCTCACCCATTTTTGGAGACGATCTCTCTGAGGATCCTGACTGCATCATCATTACTCATGTTTTCAAAGTTGACATCATTTACCTTTAAGTCAAGAACAAATTCTATAAGAATTTTCAGCAACACACAAATATAACTGGGCAAAGACACATAAAATATACGGTAACACTTTACAATAAGGTTCATTAGTTAATGCATTTACCAACATGAATTAATCATGAACAACACATGTACAGCATTTATTAATCCTAATTGAACATTTACTAATGCATTATTAACATCCAAGTCCATGCTTGTTAACATTAGTTAATGCACCATGAGTTAACATGAACTAACAATGAACTACTGTATTTACATTAACTAACGTTAACTAACATGAACAAATACAGTAGTAAATGTATTGTTCATTGTTTGTTCATGTTAGTAAATGCATTAATTAACATTAACTAATGAACCTTATTGTAAAGTGTGACCAAATATACTATATTTGAAAACAAGATTTCCTGCTGGTTATCAAACTATTTCACAACTTTAACAAGAGGCAATTCAATCATAACTTAATGTTAAGAGAGCTATCATTTATCAATATGTGGCTCTTTTTGGATTCTCGGAAGCTCTAAAAATTAAAAATGTAAAACAGAAAATACGTTGGGACCATTTTTTTTGTTTACATCCCTCAAAATGGTCTATAATTTAGGTACAAAAAGTAATCGGTGATCATTTTCTGCCTTTTGTAGTTTTATTAACAGAAGAAGTCAATTGAAAAGCTAATGAACGGACCCAATGTACTGTCATACAGGCATCTCCTTTATCCACAGTCTATAATCACATAAGGGTTAGTTCTGTCATCATTTACTGACCCTCCACTTTTTTTTTAAATTTATTTAAGTTTCTTTCTTCTGCTAAACAGAAAGGAAGATATTTAGAAAAAAAAGCTGGAAACACATTTCTGTTTCAGACATGATTTCAGTCATATTATTTCCTGCTATGAATATCAATGGCTACCTGTATCCGAAACATTTTTTTTTTGTGTTCAATAGAAAAAAAAAGAATTGCATCAGGGGTTGAAAACACACAAGGGAGAGTAAATATTGAGTAAATTAAATGTTTGTGTGAACTATCACTATAAGCCATAACCAACAGTGTTTATGTGAACTCACAAAGATGGGTATTATGATTGAATTTTATGCATTTGTATGTCCAATCCCAAAATGCTCAAAAGAGAATCCAAATCTACCACAATATCAGTCAGTAACAGTCAGGGCGAGGCAGTGGTCCAGTAGGTAGTGCTGTTGCCTCACAGCAAGAAGGTCGCTGGGTCGCTGGTTCGAACCTCGGCTCAGTTGGCGTTTCTGTGTGGAGTTTCCATGTTCTCCCTGCCTTCGCGTGGGTTTCCTCCGGGTGCTCCGGTTTCCCCCACAGTCCAAAGACATGCGGTACAGGTGAATTGGGTAGGCTAAATTGTCTATAGTGTATGTATGAGCGTGTGTGTGAATGTGTGTGTGGATGTTTCCCAGAGATGGGTTGCAGCTGGAAGGGCATCTGCTGCGTAAAAACTTGCTGGATAAGTTGGTGGTTCATTCCGCTGTGGTGACCCCAGATTAATAAAGGGACAAGAAAATGAATGAATGAATGAATGATTAATTTTCAAACTGCATGTTTCAATGAATCAATTCAAAGCTTCTCGGTTACCACTTTAAAACAAGAGTGCCTAAACTTTTTCTTATGAAGGGCGAAAAGCCAAGCTTGATTGAGAGCTGTGGGCTGAAAGTAAATAGCAAACTGTATAGCCATGGGTTATTTCCAAATTTATCTCATAATATTTATAAACAAGTAGAAAAAAATACTTCAACCATATTTACTAATGCATTCTAATGTTTTGAAATGTATATTAGTTGAACAAACTTATTATATTAAAACCATTTAAAAATCTATTTTTAAGATCAATGTGGAATACACTAGTCATGCTGACCCTGCCTTTGCCTTGATTTGCGTTCTGATGTCTCCTGCTTTGTCTCCTATTCGTTAAGTGACAGTATGCACATAAAAAATCTGATTTATTTACAACATTTAATTGTAACATTTATTTTAAGCTAGCTTTTTTTGTAGCTCACCAATAAAAACAAACAAACAAAAGGTTACATTAAAATATAAATGAGAATTTCTGTTAAAGGCATTTCCCAACCCTTCCCAATCATTTTCCCTCTGGCCGGCCAAGTCAAAGGACACAAAGGGACAACTTTGGCCCACGGGCCCTAGTTTGAGCATCTCTGCTATAAAATGTAACTACTTTTGCATTAAATATATTGAATTCATTTGTTTGTTTTGGAATATGAATAAACAAATACCACGGTTCATACACGTTTTTACTACAAAATTCCATGACTTTTCCAGAACTTTCAAGTCAATTTTCATGATCTAATGTTTCATATAATGTCTACATAGACGTGGCTAATCATAATAAATGTTTTAAGTTATTACAGTAGATCATAAAACATGTAATAGTTTCAATCTATTTTAATATCTATGTTAAATAGATGATGCCTACACAGCACTAATAATGTGAGAGCATAATTTTGGCCAAGAAAAGAAAAGAAGTAAAAACAACTAACCTCCATTCCAATATACAGTCATTTGTCAAACTCAATTTAGATAACCTTTATAGTTTGTTAAACTATTAATAGTAGGTAAAACTACTTCTATTATAAAGCTGCAATCACACTGCACGTTTCGCTCCATAGACTTCCATTCATAGGTATGTGAATACGGAGACCAGAAACGCAAGCACAAACGACAAGTTTCACATTTCACTGCATTCGAGCCTGTGAATTTTTACCTGCGAAATCACATGAGGTGACCAATAGAAAATCATTTTAAATGAAAAACTTAAAATATGGAGCAGTTGCTCATTTTTCTAATGTCAAATCATCTAGTGTAAACGCAGCTTAAGTCGCTTTGGACAAAAATGTCTACTAAATGGCTAAATGTAAAGGTAATTTCCATGACTTTTCCAAAACCTTGTGGGTTTTTCTGTTTTTACAAAACTTTTCCAGGCCTGAAAAATGCCATGTCAAAATGTCATGACTTTTCTAGGTTTTCCATGACCGTATGAACCCTGAATACCATTTTAGAGATTAGAACAATTTTAAACTATATTGTATAACACTAGTGTTAATCTAAACAAAAAATAGGCCCTTTGGCACTACTTTTCATTTACACACACACACACACACACACACACACACACACACACACACACACACACAATCCCCTGTCAGAAACTTACCACAGCCAAATAGAAGCTTCAAAGATCCTATAAATAAACGTAGCAAAAAACATTTTTTCCTAATCCAATACTCATACCTTGAGGTAATTTTGCTAATATCAGTGTGCCACGCTGCGTCATGCCAAAATACAGATAATCCATTTCTATTACTATAATCTGCCACTCAACAGGGATCAGCAGATGCTGGAGGTAGGCTGTATTTTATCACTAAAGCTACATAGCATGAAGCCAGAGGCCAAAATAATGGAAATACAAGTCATTTGAAGTGCCCTGCGGTGTTTAATTGCTTTAACAAACCACCAGCATCTTCCACCAACCCAGCTTTACACTAATCAGCTTTTCAAAAGGAATGAAAAAATACTTCTATTGGGGGGTTTTCAAAGAGATAGTCCACCATAGAAAGACCATTTGTCATAATTTATTCTCCCTCAGGTTGTTCCAGACACATTTGACTTACTTTCTTCTGCTTTCTGATGAATGTTGAAAACCAAACAGTTTTGGTTCCTACTCAATACTAATATATTATAATGGAAATCGATAGAGAACAAAACTGTCTATCATGTTTTGTGTTCCACAGAGGAAGGACTGTCAAACAGATTTTGAACAACATGATAGTGTTCACAATATTGACAAAATGTTCATTTCTGTGTACAGAGTTTTAAGACCCTTTCCATACATTTTAACACCTTTTAACCCTTTTAAACCAGAAACACTGGCAAGATTTGAACCTGAAGTGTATTTACTAAATATTAATGTAAGAAACTAATCCAAAACTAAAATTGTATTCATATACTGAATAAAAATCTATTAAATGAAATCTAGATAGTTCCGCAGATTGGTGCCTATAAAACTGCAGAAATAATGGTGTTCACTTGGTTACTGCAGTAAACAAAGCAGCATGACGTCAAATCTAGTAGGATTTCATTGTTTTCATAAACTAAACATCATCCCGATATTCCCAGATTCAGGCAAAATTTAGCATACAACCATACATTAATAATCAAATCAAACATTAATTGCATAATCAAAAATTATATAAAATTTAATACCTTGCAAAATAGCATTTAAGACTTATTCATACTTTTTAAGACTCCACAGACACCCTGGTGTAGAGATCTGCGCGGGACTAAATTTTGAATCCCGCTCCTATCAGGTTTTAGTCCAAACCAGACCGCTCCTGCTTATATTCAGCATTTGTTGTCCCACTGCCTGACCCGCCCCATTTTCTATCCGCCGTGCCCGTTCCCGCTTCGGACAGGGGTGGGGGGGGGGAACAAAACCGAAAACCACCCAGCTATACAGAGTCACACACACACACACACACACACACACACACACACACACACACACACACACACACACACACACACACACACACACACACACACACACACACAGACAGACAGACAGACAGCACAAAACTTTCTCTCTCATTAGCGTACACACACACACACACACACACACATAGACAGCAACAAACAAGCTAAACACAGCATCACGCTCTCTCATTCACACACATACATTCGCGTGCTTGCTCGCTCCGGAGTCGGGACCGATGTTGTTAGACTGCCCACTCCCATCCAAAGTTACACCTGTTACCGACCGTTCCTACGCTTTATTCGGAAATGTATTCCCGCACCACAAGAAATCGGGTCGGGTCCCACGGCTGTATGCAGACCTCTACCCTGGTGTACATTATATATGGGGTTTTTTGTTGTTTAAACTACATTTTCAGAGCCATTGAGCCAGAAAGACAACCATAGTCCACATAATGAAGTTAAATGACAATATTTTAGAAAATGTAATTTTGTTTTTCCACTAGTACAGTTGAAGTCAGAATTATTAGCCCCCATTTGAATTTTTGTATGTTTTTTAAATATTTCCTAAATTATGTTTAACAGAGCAAGAACATTTTCACAGTAGGTCTGATAACATTTTTTACTTCTGGAGAAAGTCTTATTTGTCTTACTCCGGCTAGAATAAAAGCAGTTTTTCATTTTTTAAACACCATTTTAAGGACAAAATTATTAGCCCCCTTAGGCAATTTTTTTTACGATAGTCTACAGAACAAACCATTGTTATACAATAACTTGCCTAATTACCCTAACCTGCCTAGTTAACCTAATTAACCCAGTTAAGCCTTTAAATGTCACTTTAAGCTGTATAGAAGTGTCTTGAAAAATGTTTAGTAAAATATTATTTACTGTCATCATGGCAAATATAAAATAAAACAGTTATCAGAGATGAGTTATTAAAACTATTATGTTTAGAAATGTGCTGAAAAAATCTGCTCTCTGTTAAACAGAAAATGAGGAAAAAATAAACAGGGGGGGTAATAACTCAGGGGGGCTGATAATTCTGACTTCAACTTTACTTCTCACTCTTTTCTCTTGGGAAGGTTTATTTTGCTCTTCTATATTACAGGCTGTGGCAGTAATATAATCTTTAATGACCCATACACTGACAACAATGCCTTTTTGACATGGTCAAATTCTACAAAAAAAATGCGTGATAAAATTCATTTTTTCGCTCATTCATTTTCTTGTCGGCTTAGTCCCTTTATTAATCTGGGGTCGCCACAGCGGAATGAACCGCCAACTTATCCAGCACATTTTTGTGCAGCGGATGCCCTTTCAGCCGCAACCCATCTCTGGGAAACATCCACACACTCATTTATACACACACTCATACACTACGGACAATTTAGCCTACCCAATTCACCTGTACCACATGTCTTTGGACTGTGGGGGAAATCGGAGCACCCGGAGGAAACCCACGCGATCGCAGGGAGAACATGCAAACTCCACACAAAAACGCCAACTGAGCCAAGCCGAGCCGAGGTTCGAACCAGCAACCTTCTGCGCCACTACGTCGCCATGCATGCTAAAATTAAACTGAAATAGTCACATTGAGAAGATACGTTCACTTTCATAATCTACCTGCAGCAGCATGTCTCCTGGCTCTATCCTCCCATCTGCTGCCACTGCTCCTCCCTTCATAATTGATCCAATGTAGATGCCACCGTCTCCTCTATCATTGCTTTGGCCCACTATACTGATGCCCAGAAAGTTGTATTTCTCTGTGGAAATAGTAGAGGACATAAAAGTCATGCTTTTGTGACACACAGTATGTGCATATGGCCATAAACAAGAACTCATATCGTACCCATATTTAGAGTAACTGTGATGATGTTGAGGCTCATAGTTGAATCTGTGATACTGCTGAAGGAGGATGACTGTGAATGCAAAACCAGAAGAGGCAGATGAGAATCTTAGGAGCCACATACTGTACAAATGATTGGAACATGTTACAAAAAGCTTAAAAGGGTTAGTTTACCCAAAAATCACAATTCTGTTATTAATTATTCTACCTCTACCTCAGTCCAATTCCAAGACCTTCATTTGTCTTCAGAACACAAATGAAGATAATTTAGATTACATTTAAGAGCGCTCTGATCCTCTACACTATAGACATCAATAGTTTTTTTGTGTGTGGCAAAAAAAAATCTGTAAATATGCCTACTGCATATCTTCTATCACGTGTCAAGTCATCAGGCAGTATGTATTGCCACATACCACATGCAGTATGTATTGCCATTAAAGTCAGCAGTGTGACAGGCAACTATTCTATTGTCTGTAGTAATCGCACACCCTAATCTGAAGCAAAAGACATTGGTAAACAAATTTGCTTTACAATTTCTTGAGTTGTGTTCTTGAAGCTTTGTATGATTACAGTGGAACCATATTTTGGTTCATTTTCTTGACTTTGATTGTCTCAGTACTGACTATTGTATCTTTGGAGGATGAGAGAGCTCTCGAATTCATCCTAAATATTCTAACTTGTGTTCCAGAGATAGATGAAGGTATCTGGAGACTGAAACAACTTGTTGTTAATTAATAACAGAATTTACATTTTAAGGTGAACTAACCCTTTAAGTATAAGCAACTTTAAGTCAAATGTAATTTGAAAAAATACTTTTTATTTTTCAGTTTTGTCAGATTTAACTATGTGGGAGAGAGTTTGTCCTCAAAATATGGTGCACAAGTATGCACTAAACACACAAACACACACCCTATCAATTTTAGCCACTTTGTGTCGCCGGCGTCTGCGTTTATGTCTCTTCATTAACTGAAAAGAAGAACTCTGCTCTGTGGAACTGCTCAGCCTGACAGCAAAAAACAAAGAGAGAGGAACAGATTAATTATTGATTTTAAAATTACACAGCAAAAGGTCAGATATGTAATAATGTTTGCACACAGGAAAAAAAAATATTGGTCAAAGGCAAGAAGTCACATTTTTGTTGTCTGCATCAAAGTGACTTTACATATAGTACATAAAAAGCATTAAATGCAACTTAAGTGTCTACTTCAACATGTCAAATAGCTTTTGGAAAAATGAAACACCAAAATACGGGTAAAATAGTGTTTCATCATAATTCAGCGAAACATTGAATCATTACAAAAATAATTATGCCAGTACTTGTACTTGAATTAGTGTTCATGTTAAATTAAAGTTCATTTTAAATCATTTGAAACATCTTCAAAGCATTAAATGGTTAAAATCTAGCAGTTTGACGAACACTGGATAGACAGATAGTGATGAAAAGAGAAAAATCATACTTATACAAGTAAAAGTATGATTACTTGCCCAAAAATGTAGTGCAGTAAGGGTAAAAGTATCTGTTGTAAATTTTACTCAAAGTATAAGTAAAAAGTAGTCAGTTTAAAAGTACTTAAGAGTAGTGAGTAGGGAGTATTACACTGTGAAAATGCTGAAGCGTTTACATGCAGTTTGTTTGTGTGTGTGTAAACAAAACATTATGTAGTGCATGTAGTTATTGTTTAAGGCCATTTAATGATGCCATGTCATCATACAGTAGACATTCATCATCTTCACATCTTCTCTAAAGTCTTTTGTGTGACTGCATGTAAACATTTTGGACATCTTCTTGGACACTTTCCAACTTGAAATTGTTCATTTTGATGCAAAACTATTATTATTTATTTGACTGGAATCGCAGGGCTGACTGTTCGTCTTTAGCCAATTCCCATAGACAAGAAAAAAAGTAAATGCAGGTTGAAGGAAAATAGTGGAGTAAAAGTACAGATGCAACACTAAAAATGTACTGAAGGGAAAGTAAAAGTACATATTTCACACTTAGTAAATGACAATTTCTAAAAAAAAATACTCCAATACAGTATGTTGAGTATTTGTTATTTGTTACCTTATACTACTGAGGATAGAGAACATTTAAGTGAAGTTTATTTATCAACTAATTTCAAGAGGATCATGTGCTTATAATTGCTTGCAGCTGCCCCACATTATCCAATTTATTATTCACCAATCAGACAATTCCCAGGCCACTATAAGTGCCCTAGGTTTCATACCACAGACATCTTCATTTTGAAGAATCCACCCTTCCACCCTGAGTCCTCCTCCTTTCCTAGATGGGTGACACGGTGGCCCAGTGGTTAGCACTGTTGCCTTACAGCAAGAACATATTTGGCTCTGGTCATTAACAAAACCAGCAGACATTTCTGTGCGGAGTTTGCCAGTTCTCCCCGTGCTCACGTGGGTTTCCTCTGAGTACCCCAGTTTCCTTCCACCGTCCAAAACAGGCAACTTAAATTAATTGACTAATTCAAATCAGCACCATAGACGTGCACTTAGCAAGTAGTTATCTCTTAAGAGCAATCTCTATCTGTCCATTAACTTCTACAGCAGGGGAGTTCTGGAGTTCTACCAGTGCTCAAACTCCCCTCTCACCTTGCAAAGGGAGGGAGCCCCGGGCTCGAGGATCTTTTGAGCTCAGGGCTCTCTCCTGGGACAGCATGCCAAACAAGCTTTTTAATCAATCATCAGCTAATAGTGAACTCTTGAAATGATAATTGTTAAATAACTTTGATGCTGCACTATGATCCTTAAAAATATTTTATTATGTGAAAATAAGGAATAAAATAAGGAATTAAATAAGTTAGATTTTTATTATATAACCTATTGTTATATTGAATGACTTTTGAGAGGGTGTTTTTCAGTAAAAAATGCAATACAGATTATCTTTTTTCAGAAAATAAAAAAATAAAAAAACAGAAGATAATATACTGTATGGAAGGTTTAAGCTTATCATTCAAAACCCAACCTGCTTGCGTCCTCCTCATCTTCGCTGTCAATGAAAGAGCTCGACTCCAGCTCACTGCTCATGATGGAGCCGCTGTCACAACCCATGGCTGAGTCCCTTACCACCCGCTCAGCTTTAGAGTGACCGTTCAGACGTGGGACTGAGAGGAAAACAATACAGTTCATACACACATTAAAGCTTATAAAGGCCTTGTTGAAATTTTTAAATATCAACAAAAATATCTAAATATGGTTATATATTCATGGCTTGATCAAACCTTGAGTGACAAACTTAAAAAGCCAAAAACATACACTCCCGTGGGCGTGGCTCTGCCTCAGGGTGACATCTGATTGGTTGGAAGACTCTGTTGAGGCGGCGGCATCCCAGTGAGCCGGGTTTTGTGTATTGCCTCTGGTGGAACCCGAAACACTCCAGCAGAGTTGGGTTGCCAGAGCTTCTTTCACCAGACTGATATCGCTCTCTCATATTGTATATTATATACTCACTCACATGCCAGTCTTCAGATTTTTATTTGATCTGTACTTGATTTTATCTGCATTCACAAGTGGAATGAAACAAGTTTGACTAACAAAAGTAACAAACAGAAGAAATGTCTGTAAAATGTAAAACCAATAGTGAGGAAAGAAATGTGCAAAAAGACAAAGCAATGGAGAACAAACAATGTTTAAAAATATCACTTTCACCATTTTCTTTTTATTTTCAAGCTAGCTACAAACATGGTGATATAGCCTATTGTATCTAGGCACAGCAAACAAGGCAATCCATAACACAACCATTTTCGTCTTCCAGCTATGAAATGGAAACAAAGTAGTCAATATATCATCACTATTTGTTGTCAGCAGCCTATTTAAATCTAGCCTAAAGATATATGACATGTTTACAAAGATAATATTACAATACATCATATGAGAGGCATTACATATATTAGGTTACAGTCTACTGAAACTTAATTTTTAACATGATGGTTAAGGAAAAAATCACAGCTTAAATTTATTTACATCTTTCATTGATCATTTTGATAGTAAAACAAATAAAAATCCAAAAATGTACACCTGTCTTTCTTTATATGTTTCATGATTAAATATATTACAACATAAGCTTAAATATTGTAAATTGATAAAACAATTGTATTATTTATTTATTTATTTATTTATTTATTAAGTTTAAAAGTATTATTCTCTAACGTTAGATATTAGTCAGTTGTGTCCATTTTTAATACAGTTTAATGGCTTGCTCAACCCAAAATACACACTCATCATAAATAAACAATAACACACAAATAATGTTAATAAAATTCTACAAAATCCTCTTAAACATCATATGAAGCTTTGATTATGTTTACTCAAAAATAACACTTAAGTAAAGTGAAGTCGCCTTACCTTATAAAGCGCTAAGCAAAGACGAGCTTCTCTTTGGCGGTGCTGCACGTAAAACTACTACACAGGCTAAACTCCCGCGGGAGCGCGCGATATGAATTTATTACCCGCCCCTTGTGCACGCGCGCACCGCCATTCATCAAAAGCAGAGCGCGGACAATGAGCGCTTTCCTTTTTTTTCGTTCGATTCTGTGTCGAGGCTGTCATGCACAAGACCGCACCAATAATCATCATACAATTATGATATACAAGCAACATTTGCCCACTGAGTGTCAATGGAGGGTGTTCACAACCCCCCCGAGAGAGAAATGAAAGGATTTAATATATTTTTTGTGAAGCGTGACGTAAGGTGAGCTTTTAAATGTAGGCTGTGGCGATATAAAAGAATGAATTAATAAAAAAATGTACAGGTGAGGTCTACTAAGTTACCTGTCTTTTCACGTTTAGTTCTTTTATTTTGTACTGTTTTTATGTTTGTATTATTTATATAAATGTACCCCCTATTTAGGATGCTGTTTTGTTGTTCAGTTTAGAACATAGAAAATAAAATAAAATAAAAATAAATAAATGTTAGGATATACATGACTTTCCTCAATGTTTATAAAAATAGTAGGTTACATACATATTTCAGGATATCAAGTATGTTTGCACTTGAACATTGTAATAAATCATGAATTTTGTAAAATAGGTGAGATCTGGAAATTCTAAAAACTGGAAAATTGTATATAAAATTGTACATGTGTATTATATACTAATTTCACATTATTTACTAAAGAAAACTAATTCACTAATTAATTGCACTAATTCATCTTGAATTGTACATATTCACTGCACATACATTTGTAAATATGTTCACATATATCTGCATGATTATAATAAGCAACCTGTACAGTACATGTATTCATCTCTGATCATAGCTAATACAACCTGTATATAATGTTCATAGTACATCCATCTGTAAATATTACCCATAGTTTTTCTATAATGGCACTTCTATTAATTGCATTTTGTTGCCTTGTACTTGTAACGACCAAGAACATAGATTAGCTCTTGACATTGGTGGGGACATACATCCCTAGAGTGCATGCATTGACCAGCTCAAATTTCGCGCTTTTAAAAACATGAATAAAGTACTTAACAAAATAAATTATCACTTAATAATACAAATAACAATCATGTCCTATGCTGCAAAATTAACTTGCATGATTTTACTGCAGTTGGCCTTTGAGGAGGTATGCATGCTGAGAAATTTAGAGAGGTGTGTGTTACATTTTAAGAGTTTTATCCCGATTATAATTTTTCATAATCATGGAGGCCAAAATCGAATCCAAATTACGATTAATTGCACAGTCTTGGTTAATTGTAATAATAGTATTATTAACAGTGAACTCGTAGTGAATTTGATTTTGTGCACTTGCAGGTTACTAAGGGTTGATGGAGCATTATTTTATTTTAAAATTAAATTAAATTATTGGTAAGGACATTTCAGAAATTAGTGGATATTGATAGAGACACGTCCTTGGTAATAAATTTAACTGAATCTAATCTGTTCTAAAAAGAAAACCTCTTTGTGTTCTTTGAATGTGTTGTTACATTAAATAATTTGTGCTGTGTATTTCCTGTTTTTGTAACTTCTACACCTGACTAATTGTGCTCCATGTTCTCTAAATACAGTTGAAGTCCGAATCAGAAGACCCTCCTGATGTACAGTATCAGCCCCCCTGTTTATTTTTCCCCCAATTTCTGTTTAACGGAGAGAAGATTTTTTTCAACACATTTCTAAACATAATAGATTTAGTAACTTATTTCTACTGACTGATTTATTTTTGCCATGATGACAGTAAATAATATTTTAATAATTTTCAAGACACTTCTATACAGCTTAAAGTGAAATTTAAAGGCTTAACTAGGCTAATTAGGTAAACTAGACAGGTTAGGGTAATTAGGTTTTGTAGACTATCTGAAAAATACCTTAAAGAGGCCAATAATTTTGTCCTTAAAATGGTGTTTAAAAAGTAAAAAACTGCTTTTTTTCTAACCGAAATAAAACAAATAAGACTTTCTTTAACAGAAAAAATATTATCAGACATACTATGAACATTTCCTTGATCTGTTAAACATCATTTGGGAAATATTTAAAAAAGAAAAAATAAATCAAAGAGGGGCTAATAATTCTGACTTTAACTTTGTATTTTTCAGATAGTAAATACAATTATTTTCTTATTACAATTTATTTAGTAACACATTTTATACTAACGTCATGAACACACATCCTATTTGATTTTTTTTATTTACCTTGATATTTTTTTAGAAATTTTATCTAGTAAAACAAATTCTGTGTGTTGTGTAAAAAAAGAAAGAAAGAAAGAAAATAATAAAGCCTCACCTCTGCCTTGCAATATGAAAGGACAGCACAAAATTCATTCAGAGGGGGGCTCAGAATCAATACGGTCCTGGTTATTCTCAGTGGAACAGTGCGTCTTGTACAACCTCATATTTTTTTCTCCTCTTTGTCCTATTAATTCTGAACTGAGAGAGTGTTGCGGTGTCACCGCTGACACTGTCTCCAGACCAGCCACCTAATTAAGCCACACTGATTAATGATCAGCGGGGACTAATGGGCCAACAGAGAATCCTGCGCTATGCAGTCACATACACACAGATAAATTACGCTGATGTCTGGCTCAGTTTGTGTGTGAGAAAGCATTTGTTTTCCAAGGGTGAGGACCATGTTCAATGGACGACAGGAAGGGTGTGTGATTCAGCTGCGCTGTTGTAAATAAATAACTCATTTGCTATTGTACAAAACGTTCAGATTTATTCATGAAATTATGCATTGTACCATCGCTCAATGAAGAGAAGATCGAATACACAACAAAGGAAAAAAGAGAGAAAGCGTACAAGAGTGTCTATTGAGTGACATTTAAATGATTGACTGCTTTAGTTGTATTCTTCCGTAATATTAATGTGAGAACACATTTGGAAAAGATGAAGTCATTTCAGTCTGTCAAGGAAGGTAATTAAAGATAATTTAAGACTTTCCTCTCTGAAGATAAATGAGCTAAACGCATACACTAAAATACAAAGACTACAACACACACACACGCACAAAGAGAGATGACTTTCTGACCTCAGTTTGAAAAGACAAATATATTTAGCTCACCAATAAGGCAAACATCCCACATTGAGAAGGCGTGAAAGCATTTGTCACACTCAGTGTAAGATCAAGCCATGATTATATTAACTTTGAGTAAGAATTCCAAATGCTTGTGGCATATACAGCAGAGACTTAAAATGGATTAATGAAATTGTAAAAAATATGTATGTAGTACAAGAAAAAATAAAGTACTATTCTGTTTTTCTACTTAAAGTTTTCATATTTTAAGGCACAGTATGTAATTTTTGCATAGTTTGTATTCATGACCTCGTGACTAAGTGTGGAATCATGGGAGCTGTCGTCTTCATCAAACTCTATGGGTAAAGCAGTGGTGTCCAACCTTTTTTATCACAGCAGATCGGTCAATGATTGATATTTTTTCAGGGCCCAGGGAAGGGGGAGGGGGCTTGTATGACAGTGTACATGTAGATTGCTGGGCAACCATCAACTTTTTTCTCAGAGGATGACAAGCTGACTAATATTGTTGCAACTTTTAGTTATGCAGAAATTTGAAAAGCACTGCAGTGTTTGGGTGTTCTGTGTTTGTCTGAGATAATTAGTCTACTGATATGTGTATATTCCATGCAAAGTATTAAGCTGACTGGTCAGTTCTTGTCACCTGACTCACGGTGTACTCATGGCATTCTGTAAAAATAAGATGTTTTCATCTGGGTGCCCCTGGAAGGCACGAGATACATGTGGGCAAGCCAAGCGCCTCGATTCGAAATAATGAACTTGCACGCGAAAAAGATGCGATATGTGAATAAGGCCGCCATCATTTGATATTTACAGAAGTTGATCTTCTTGAACAGACATGCTAGATTCACCTGATTTGTTAACAAATGGGTTGGGAATTCATTCCGTGGCAGTTCATGGGTCCTTCACTGTGTCTTTTCCACTTTGCAAAAAAACTTTCCAAAGACATCTGTTTCATTTTGCTGCTTATGGGTTAAATTTTGGTGCTCAAGTGACCAAGATGTAGCCGAGAGAATATGGTCATTTTTCAGAATAATAGATTTTTTCTAGATAAAAGAACATTCAGACTCAGATAATAAATACTATGAAAATAATTGATGATTTCCTGTGCGGTCCGGTACCAATTGATCCATGGACTGGTACCGGTCTGCAGCCTGAGAGTTGGGGACCACTGGCCTAAAATATTCAAAACGTATGAAGTGCAGTAAGACAGAAAGCCATCAAAATAGCTTATTTCTCAAGATTTGAACATTCCTTAAAACATTCGGGAAATAAGTCAGCGAAATATACAACAATGTTCTAGTGGTTTTAGGATATTTTAATGAGAAAAGCGTACATATTGTGCCTTTAAATTGAAAATGTTACTATTTGATTGCAAAATGAAAGAGTGATTCACTTTAAGGATTTAAAAAGGTTTATTTATTTGTATTTTCCCTGGGATTCCATGAAGAACCATTTTTAGTAATCAAAATAACCTTTCAGAAAACAGTTCTTAAAAAAATGATCATTCAACTAAAATAAACATGTGCCACAATATAGAACCTTTTGTGCAATGTACAGTCAGCCTGTATGTAACAGATCCTTCATTGTCATCAATTCTTCATTGTCATCAACTTATTGCTTTGAAAAGCTGCTTTATGTCAAAATCATATCTTTACTTACAATCATCTCTCCTCCGTCTGGTTCTTTCTCGTTCCCTCTCTCGACGATGACGAAGAACAGGCTCGCTTCCAGTTTCTGTGTCCAGTCCATCTCTGCTGTTCACTGCATTCGCACTACACACACACAAACACAAGCAGCATGAGCTCTCAGTGGCATCAGACAATATTATCCAACACACTTAGAAGAAAATCACCTAAATGCATGTAAGATATAATCAATGTAATGCAGACTGTTTGAGCTTGTTTGTGTGGTTGAAAGTCAGTAAAGGAAAGCAAGAGAGATAGTTTACTCGGTGAATAATGGTAATGACACATAGTGGCTGTTTCATCATGAAAGATGGGTTTCGGAATTACACACCTGGGGCCAGCAAGTGTGTCTTTTGTGTAGGTATACGAACATATGTGTGCTTTCAGCAGAAACCTGAGCAAGGTGAGAAATTTATTTCACCTTTACTAAAGAACATAACAAACCTTCAGCCTCCTGCACACCAGTCTTTATATAGTAAAGGTGCCTTATAAAGAACTGTATACACACACACACACACACACACACACACACACACACAGTCTTTACAATAAGGTTTTTAGTAATTAATTAGTAATACTTTAAGTATTGTGTGTGTGTGTGTGTGTGTGTGTGTTTGTGTGTGTGTGTGTGTGTGTGTGTATATATATATATATATATATATATATATATATATATATATACATAGTATACTTAAAGTATTACTAATTAATTACTAAAAACCTTACTAAAAACAAATACTTATTGTATCAGCATATAACAAAAGGAGTGCATGTCCTTTCCAAAGAAGCAAATATACAATAATTAAACTCTTACTTTAAAACTTTGGGCCAATAAAAGACATGCATGCCGAGGAAATTTGATTATAAATAATTTAAAGTTAAACCATTAACTTCAGTTCTTTCTATTTCATACAGAAAACAATAATAGCTTTAACTGCTGTCAGAATCATGTTCAAACGTTTATTTCTCTAATAAATATTAGGTCAGTTTTCAACATTATTAATAACAACAATTCTTCTAGAGTAGCTACTCAGCATGTTAGAATCATTTCTGAAAATGTTTTAACATGTTTAAGATGTGTTTATGTAAATAACATGACAAAAAACACGGATTTTAAATTCTAGTACTGTTTCACAATATTAATGTCAGAATTATATTTTCAAATAAACCCTGTCTTGCTGAAAATCTCTCAAAAACATAAAAATCAAGCCCAAATTTACTATATTATAACTGCATTAATGTATCATTCTAAAAACGTGAGGCATACTGCATAAATGCAAGATGTGATGCAAATATATATGCAATTATTCAGTCAACCGATGTTAGAAATTAAGGACATGCCTCGGCTGTTATATAATACAATGAGTCTGTGCTTTGCTGTGCAGTTTAAAAATCAAACACAAGAGGGCAGAACTATCACAGACACTGGGAGTGATCTACACATCATTTGCATGTATATTCTAATATGCATGGCTTAACACTTAAACATTATACCTGCGCTGGGTTCATTTCAACTCATATTACACAAACATTTTCATTAAATAAGTGAAGAGTTTTTACACAATGTATTCTGTAAAAAATTGTGTGGAACAATATATCATTTGAAGCATCAATATCGCAATGTGTGTATCTGCAATATTTGAATCACAGATTTAGATTATTTGTTAAAGATTAAAAGATTGCCTCTAGTTGTTTATTTGCCCCGTCTTGTATGGATGCAGTCCAGGTGTGGGAGGAGAAGGGAATTAAATGTCTGATAGATTAAATTTTTTATAATATTTTCTGCTCCTTTGAAGAGCTTCCACATCATTTTTCTCTGTCCCAAATTTTATTTATTTATTTATTTTTATTTATTTTTTTCTTTAAGATTTTTTTGTTTTCCTAAATTACCTGCTGCCTCCGTAATGGATGCAATATTAGACATAAACTCGAAAGTAGAGGACTAATTTCCCATATGTACTGTTATTTGTATAATAGACTCTCAGTCTAGAACATATTAAAACCGCTTGGCAGCTTGACTTGAGCAGGGACTTTACAGAATCAGAATGAAATGGTTTTTAACAAAAATTTAGGAGAATTTTGACTTTGACCTTTGACTAATGTTTAAAACGAGACTATTGACATGTTTTAGTAGTATATTTTGTACCCTTGTATGTATCATGCATTGTATTTTATTATTATTACATCTATCCTGCTCTTTAACATTTTTTTTATTTACATTTTTGCTGTTTTTATAAACTGACATCACCTTATTTATACATTTTTTATTACTGCACTATGCACTCACCGGCCACTTTATAAGGTACACCTTACTAGGGCTGGGTATTGTTCCAAAATTTTCGATACCGATACCCTGAATTCGATACCAGTTCCGAAAGATACTTTTTCGATAGTTTTATTTTAAGAAATATATTTTAACAAGATTACATAAAACAATCTCAGAGAAACTTTGGTTTTATTTTTTCAGGATGTTTGGGACACTTTTCACAGCAGGCTTATCTCTAAGACCAATAAACAAAGGAACAAAAGCACAAAATGAACAAAGTTTAGTTAACACAATATATTAGTGCAAACAGTTTTAATAAAGTTCAAGCAGTTTTAAGTCAATCAATATTGATTATTTGTGAGGCTTACTGCTGCTTAAAGGTTTAGTTCACCCAAAAATTTAAAATTCTGTCATTAATTATCTTCAAATTAAGATATTTTGGATTTAATCCAAGAGCTTTCTGATCCTCCCATAGATAAATCAATGAATAAAGCTATTTTTGTTTACTTTGCACACTGGAGTATTCTCGCAGCTTCATATAATTATGATTGAACCACTTATATCCCATGGACTTATTTTGACTATGTTTTTGGTTCCTTTATGGGCAAAATGCACATCCAGTAAATCTAATCTTTCTCCACAGTATAAAGGCAACAAACCTTTAACAATACAATTGTAACGGCCCTGTGGCATTCATCTTTCAGCAGGAGCAGAGACTATAACATTAATGAGAAGAAAACATAAAAGCTAAACTGTTAATGCAGCCAAGGATAAGGACATTTAAATAAGATAATAATTAATTATTATCACAATAATTAATATGAGGTAAACTTCATCATTAACTGTTAACCTTAAAGCATTTTAGTTTTGCTAGGTATTTAAAGCCATCGAAACAGTACATAACGTTACACAGCGTATGTTAGGCCCAAAAAAAGGATTAATAAATTTACTCCCGCACAAACCCTGTTTACACTGTCAGGTCTTGATGCCCAATTGCGATTTGTTGCCTATATCAGATTTTTTTGCTTGTCCGTTCACACGTTCTTTTAGGATGTACTCACACTAACAGTGTGCCTGAGCCAGTTTATTTGGGCTTTGGCACGGTACGCTTGTGTGTAAATGCAAGAGACACCTAACCCCGAAACTGAAAGCGAGACGTGACTTTTTAGGGACTGTTTCACATGGATTTATTAATCATTCTTACTGTTCAGTAAACGCAAACTGACGTAGTTTATTAAAGACGCAAACCCCTCACTGCACGACAGCTGCGCACCTTCAGCAACCTCATAATTCCTGCAGCACGAGGACTTTATGATTATGAGTGTCAAAAGTGGCGGATCTGTTCGGCGAGTTTTACCATCTGTGCCACACTAGCCACTGCGAAATATGCGAAGTGTAGTATAAGCAGTGAATGGTTCAGTCCTGATTCACCCTCACACAGTTTACGTAATGGTATGGCCCTGATGTGTGTGTGTAGTTGAAGATGTGTGCGCACTGGTGTTAGAGAAAATAAGGTGTTCTAAGTGTAGCCCGCAGTGCTTGTATTAATAGCGACAAAAAGCAAAAGTTACAACACAAAGTTTGCCTAACTTTAAAATGATTTTGAGACGGAGGAGGTGGGAAAGGGCCATCATGTCTGTTTACCTTTTGGAGCCCTAGCCATCACGCAGTTATCCTCATCAGTCACGGAGGACGACGCTTGTGGTGGGCACGTTGTTATGATGACGGCGCCGGCGTGATCTTCTTGCAGTCAACAATGCAAAAATGCTTTAAAGTGTAGTGTACGCATTACAGCCTCACATTTGTCAAGCTCTGAGCGAGTGGTCGTAACCACCATAAACCAATAATTTTCAAGACAGCCTCGCTGCAGCCAATCACCAGCATTTGATCCGGGCATGTTAAGGATGCTGGAGGTTTTCTAGCTTACTGACGCTGACAAGATTATACCCTTGAGTATCGAAATTTGATACCGAACGAAAATAATTTTTTCGCTACTCGATAGTAGCGAGACGATTCAGTCTGTGCTTAAAAAGTGTCAAACTCAATACCCAGCCCTACACCTTACTAGTGCCGGGTTGAATCGAGTTGATCGGGTTTGCCCTCAAGACTGCCTTAATCATTTGTGGCAAAAATTCAGCAAGGTACTGGAAATATTCCTCAGAGATTTTGGTCCATATTGACATGATAGCATCATGCAGTTGTTGCAGATTTGTCAGCATCCAGCAGATTTGTCGGCATCCATGATGCGAATCTCCCATTCCACCAAGCAATACTTTTCCAATCTTCTATTGTCCAATTTTGGTGAGCCTCTGCGAATTGTAGACTCAGTTTCCTTTTCTTAGCTGACGGGAGTTGCACCCGGTGGAGTGTTCTGCTGCTGTAGCCCATCTGCCTCAAGGTTGGACATGTTGTGCATTCAGAGATGCTTATCTGCACACCTCGGTTGTAACGAGTGCTTATTTGAGTTACTGTTGACCTTCTATCAGCTCAAACCAGTCTGGTCATTCTCCTCTGACCTCTGGCATCAACAAGGTATTTGCGCCCACAGAACTGCCGCTCACAGGATTTTTTCTCTTTTTCAGACCATTCTCTTTAAACCCTAGAGATGCTTGTACACGAAAATCATCAGTTTCTGAAATACACAGACCAGCGTGTCTAACACCAACAACCATGGCAAATTCAAAAGTAAGTTAAATCATCTTTCTTCCCCATTATGATGCTCAATTTGAAGTGCAACAGATCGTCTTGACTATGTTTACATGCCTAAATGCATTGAGTTGCTGCCATGTGATTGGCCGATTAGAAATTTGCGTTAACGAGCAGTTGGATAGGTGTACCTAATAAAGTGGCCGATGAGTGTCAATGAAAAGGTTTAAATCAAATATAAATGAGTATTTTTAAAGCCAATATCATAAGATGCCTTCGAGTCCCCGCCTCATTCTTAACTTTAATCTAGAACATTAATAGATTTATATTTGGTAAAGTTGTTGCATAATACAAAGGTCCCATCTGGGGTGTTGTGCTATGAGCAGATACACCACTCATTGTTTAGCACAACTCCCTTCAACATTTGTGTCTCATGCTTTCTGGATGACTGAGCCCAGTGGGGGAGCAGGAGCCAGAGGATCTGCTCTCTCTCGCTCTGCTGTTGATATTCCTACATCCACAACATAAACAAGCGTGCGTGTGTGCATGAGAGAGAGATTATTATGTAGATCCAGGATTCCCAACTGGGAGGATATGCTCCCTGGAGGTTAAATAAGCAGGTTTCCTAGAAGATTTTGACAGCCCAAACTACAAATTCATTTTTTACACTAAATAATCAACCTATTAATTCACCCTTTTTGTTTGTTTTTTATTAATAAAAATTGCATTCCTTTTTCAAAATGATGTGTTATTTTTCATAGTGCATTTAACAGACTTGCGCAAAACATTCCTTTAATCTGAAGTTTTTCTGTCAGTATTAATTCTTTAGATAGATTTTACTCAGACTTAAATGTGCCCTGTAATAAAACAACCAAAACCCCAGGCCCAGGATAGACTTTGTCTTCTTTCTTAAACTTTCCTTTCCCTCTGGTATTGATAAACACTCAGGTGTGACTGGTAACAAAGTTTTGTTTACTATCTTTGAAAGTTTCGATTAAATCCCAACAGATGAGTAAATCTTTAAGTCACTGGGTAACTTTGACAAAATAACCATTCATTGCTTCCATAGGGTATTTAAAGAGAAGGGCGAAATATCTCGAGTCGCAAGTCTGTATCCAGACTGGCCCGTAGTGAAGAGCTCTCAAGCTCAACACTATGTATAATTTGGATTTCTATCTACGCTCTTAGATTTAGCTTTCAGTAACTGATGTTGTGCATTTACTTCTGAATGGGCTTTTATTGTTTGTTTCTGTAAATGGTATGATACACTTGTATTTGGAAAATAAATGTTAACCTTTTTGATTAATCCTGGAGTCTTCTGAATTCATTTTACCCAGTAGTTTAAGTGGAGTCTGCGCTACCATTATGTTTTGACATGATTTTATCGATTTTTCAATTGGCATTTGACTGTACGGAGCTGTGTGGCACAACAGCATGAAGACCTTATATTAAATTTAAATCACTTATATTAGCAAGTTGTAAGGAAATGACTAAATTAACTACTCTTTTAGGATGAGTGAGCAGGAGGGAACCAGACTAATTGGGTATTAGTAACCCTGCAACAGTTTGTAACATCAAGCAGCAGAACAGGCTAACGTCTAAAAATGAATGGAAGTGAATGAGACCGGAAGTCTGGAGCCAAAAAGATTCAAATGGCTGCACCTGCTTGTACGGGAAAAATAAGGTGAATTGACAAGACATGGAATTAAAATACAATCATAAAAAAAACCCACAAATAATACCAGCTTTCACTATTATAAACAACAAGTCTAAACAAATTTATTTAAAGCTAAACTGAAAGGGTGTGTGCGAAATAGAAACATTCAAATGTTTCTCAGTACGAATTCAAATATGTGCTTTCTGATGGTTGTGCTTGCTTGACTTTTAATTGTTTTATATAAGCAGCTTGGCCATATATTACGCATTAACTTGCAGATGATCAAAAAACGTGATGTATTACAGAAAATACAGAGCACAAGTTTTGTTGTGGAAGAGAAACCTTATGTAAGAGAAGCATGGAGCTCTATAAAGTGAGTGTGCAGGTAAGGATGATGAATGGAGAACGTGCGAGTTTCACTAATGTGAGTGTGTATAAGCATGTGCGCTCATTTGTGAAAATCAACACATCTGCTGCACGCTATAAATGGAAGTTTTCAGCGGTTGAGTATAAAACGCAATGACAGCACAAAATTAACTGTTTAATAACTACGGTGCAGAGAACACAAAGGGTGTGTCCAGCAAAAGCACTGAAAATGACAGCACTCCGCTAACAATGGTCAGATGTGCATGCTTCTGCTACTGTCTGAGTTATTTAAAAAAAAAAGTGCTCAGAACTGAGTGTAAAACACACCCTCAGTGCCTTTCTAAGCTGCTGGATTATTTTTTTTAAATGTGCCACTTCCACTAACACAAACAAGGGGAAAAAAACGAAGAAGAAAAAACAGACATCTTAGGGGGAAAAACACTTTGGTGGACACATGGCTTAAAGAAATGCCTTTAATGAAAATATAATGGGCTTCACTTCCACTTTAAACATTGAGTTATATGACTCATTCCAGAATTTAGGGTATATTCATTTATTCATTTTCTTTTTGGCTTAGTCCCTTTATTAATCTGGGGTCGCCACAGTGGAATTGACCGCCAAACTTATCCAGCTTATGTTTTACGCAAGCTGATGCCCTTCCAGCTGCAACCCATCAGTAGGAAAGAATTTTGGGTATATTTCAAGCATTTTCTATTCATTTGCCTTTAACTGAAATGTCATACAACAAAAGTATGATGTACAGAAAACTCAAAAAATCCATTTTTAAAGAAAATAATGCAAAATGGTTAAATGTGAACACTTAATAAAAATGAGAACAATACCCTAACCCTGACCCTAATTCTGCTAATTATTGTTTAAATTACTGTTTTAACTTTTTGAACCACTACTAAAATTGACCATAACAGAGTTAACACTTTCCACCATTCTGTGCTTTAGCTCAAAATGCTGAGTTTAAATCATGCCGTAAGTCTAAAACTAAATTTTTATGAATTTTCTTAGTTTTATTATGAATGATGAATGAGGAATTAATATCACAATATCAGGGTTGACAAATAATTATTCTATTATTGGTGTAAACATGTTGTAAACGTAAATTAATGCGAATAAATTACATGCCTCAATGCCTTCCAAAGGTTCCCGTCAGGAGCAAGTCACAAGCATTTTTAAATTAATGTTTTAAAGTTTTTTATTCCTTTTTATAATAAATATAATATATAACTGAATAGACAAATATACCAAAATATACAAAAATACAAAAGATAGAATCTCATGAAAATGTTTAATTAACTTTGTATAGTTAACAGAATGAAAATTAGACTTTATTTCATAATAATCAAAACTGAACTTAAAAATTCATGTGGCAGAAACCATCAAAATTATAGTTAATACACAGAAAACCACTGGAAAGTGATATTTTCATTTATTTAAACTGTTTATTTTTACTCTTATCACAAATTTATTTATAACCTAACTTGAATTAGTTATTTGATTATTCATTCATTCATTCATTTTCCTTCGGCTTAGTCTATTTTAGAGGTCACCACAGTGGAATAACCCACCAACTACTCTGGCATATGTTTTACACAGCGGATGCCCTTCCAGCCGCAACCCAGTATTAGGAAACACCCACACACACACTCATTCACACTCATTCACACACACACACACACACACACACACACACACACACACACACACACACACACACACACACACACACACACACACAAACACTACGGATACCCACGCAAACACAGGAAGAACATGCAAACTCCACACAGAAATGCCAATTGACCCAGCCGGGACTCAAACCAGAAACCCTCTTACCGTGAGGAAACAGTGCTAACCACTGAGCCACCATGCCATTATTTTAATAATTTTCTCTTTGTCCGAGTTATATATATATATATATTTTTTTTTTTTTTGATAAATGAATTAGTTAATTTTTATTTTAAGAAGATAATGGGAAAATAACAACTCTAAGAGTGCAAGTCTAAGTCTGTAATTTATTTTATTCTGTTTATACTACTATGTATGATCTTGTTAAATAAAGATACAAATAAATACATAAAAATAAAATTATAAATAAATATAAATATAGGTAAAGGTAATATTTTTATATTGTAACATCAAGTTAAAGTATTTATATATTATTGTAATGAGTCAAAGAATAACAATCCAAGTGCAGTTTATTAAGAGACACGTCAGCCAGGCAAAAGTCAAAAAAGAGACAGACATTAGAATACAGATAATCCAAAAGTGTAGTCAGAGTACAGGCAAATGGACAGGACAGGCGGCAAGACAACATAAAACAATAAACAAATCAAAGGTCAAAAAACATGGCAGACGAGACAAGGAAATGCTATGTAATGCTCACAGTTAAACTAGACTCAGCAAAGAGTGTGTGTGAATGAGATGTCTTTATAGTCCTAGTAATCAGTCCATCATGAGCTTCCATTATCATGTTTGTACTGTATTTAATGTGTGTATAATCAGGGGGAATCAGGAACTGGTGTGTGAGTGCAAAGACCCCTGGGAGTTGTATTTCATTAAGTGGCAGATGTGTAGTTTTCCAGCAATCTGCAAATGCTAGATCGCGACAATTAGACACTAAGACAAAATGTCCTTAAATAGACATACAAAGAATATTTTTTTAGAAATAACTTGATATAACTATGTTTCATTAAAGTTTTTTTAAATACTATAAGGTTTATCTTAGAAACACGAAATGTACACAACTCTAAAACCACCCATATAATACAAATAAATTACAATAAGAGGTCATATGATTTCTCCATTAAACTCAATCTAGAATTCATCCAAATTGAAAATAAGGCATGTTGATCTATTAACTATATACAAGAAGGCCAGGTTAATGCCAAGCTTATTGCTTAGACATACTGAAACTCTTCTTCACTCCATTAATCACGTTTTTGTGCGGAATTCGCAAGAGCTGCATGTGCATAATCGCAAGAGCTGCATGTGCATAGTGAGTTTATTCCAATATGTTTTCTACACAGGGAGCATGTGTGTTGATACTCACTGGAATGAGGGCGGTCTGGAGTCCCCAATGCCTCCTGTCCTCTCCAGTGGTGGTGGATGTTCAGTATGACTGTCAGTGCACACTGACATCCCATCTGTGTGAGAGCTCTCGGCCAGTACAAGCTAAAAACAGACACATAAATGCAAAGAAAATTTGCTGAAAATTGCTGCAATTCCCAAGCAGGCCTCAAAAGCAGGGTAGAAATAAACTTATTACTTATTGATTTTGACGTTTCTGAAAAATAAAAACTGTACAAATGCCATAAGTGGATCTCCAGCAGTAGGATAAAACTTTAAAAAGCCAGTTCATGACCCCTTTTAAGTTTGCTGCTAATTTAGCAGTGTTGGGAAAAGTTACTTTTGAAAGTAGTGCATTACAATATTAAGTTCATTCATTCATTTTCTTTTCGGCTTAGTCCCTTTATTATTCTAAATCATTTTCGTTCTAAAATGCCATTTTAATACTAAGATGTATTAGTGTAAACAGGGCCTAAGTGTCTATTTTTCGCGAGCAGGTTTGTGATGGAGGTGGGGTGGAGGATCGGCGATGCCGGCTCAGCATCGTGTTGTCTATTGGCCATCGGGGATGGACGATGGCATCTTCTATCGGCCCAACCCTAACATAATCAACACTTAACAACAATCCACTTCTTTACTTCGATGAGTTCAAAATAACAAGAATCCATTGCAAAAATTTAAGTCTCCAGCCTGCCATTGTTTCTTATTCTGACTGTCTGAAGTGATTCTTGAATAAATAGTTTGTTTTAACCGGATCTTCTAAGTGAACTGGTCAAACCAATTCATTAAATTAAATTGAGTTGTCGTGAAATGGTTTACGTGTTTAGTAAGTTCTAACATACAGGTTACCACCTTTTACTCAAAATAAACCAATATCATTGAATGGAACCAATTTCATGGAATGTTATTCAGTTACTAGAACAGTACACAGACTCATCTCTGCTGTGACCATATGATGATGATAAGTGTGAGCCGATCGTCTATGTTAGGGTCTATACACTCGCAGCATGCTCTCTCATTAAGTGTGTGATTCAACCTGACTTTTTTGTCCGTAATATATTTTGTAAAAGCCAATTAAGCAAGGTAAAAACTAATTCCTGTAACATTTTATTAAAGTAACTCACATAATATTACTTATTTTTAAAGTAATGCATTACTATACTTGCTACTTTGGAAAAGTCATATACGTGATAAGTAATATAGGTGATACTTAGTGGTGCGTTACCCCCAACACTGACTGTCAGTTTAGAGGCCTTTCTTCTTTTGTTATTAGAGAAAGAAAAAGAGTACATTGCATTATTATTAATATTTTTATTTTATATAACTGACGCTTTACGTTTTATATGTAAAAAATAATAATTATTTTGTCTTTATGCCAGCGTTCCTAAGGATTTTTTTTGTTTTCAATAAATAAAAGAAGGTTTTGGACAACGATGAGAAAATGTTCATTTTAGGGTGAATGGGATGAATAGGATGCTTGAACTGTTCCACTAAAACTCATGAAGAAAAAAAACCCCACTACAACAAACAAAGGCCTCCAAGGGACCAAATAAAAACTGCATCCAGCAGAATGCAATTTGCTGAATTATGCATTACACTTTAGATTCAGTCAGACTTCAAAGTGCCTTTCAGACTTAAATAGTATAATGAATTGGTGAGCTGAAACTGCCGATGTCCAGTTTATGATTTAGCGCATGTGCTGCCTCTTTCTTATGACATATGAATGCATGACTGCCTGCCTTTTCCACTCTGATTCAGATGTTATATAAGCCAGAAGTTAATTCATGGCTCACCCATGACACCACTCTCCCATTGAAACAAGGCAGTTTGGCGTTGTCGTCCGAGACTTCTTCTTTGACAACCCTGTAGAGACACAAAAGATAAAAAAATCAATGTTTTATTAAAGAGATGCTTTAAATTGTGCATGGGGCATATTCCACTGGTGTTTTCAACATCTACCGCCATGTGCTGACAAATGAGATCACAGAGACTAGATAACATCTTCATGTAACGTGTGATGTGTAGCTGTGAGACTGTTGCTAAATGTGTTGTTTAGAGACCGACTTATCCCAAAAACTGACATAATGGATCTGAACAGAGGGCATATGGTGAGGATCTCACATGACAGCTTGGAATAGAAGTGTCAAGTCAATTATGCCAACCTCATGCAGGCATATTTTTTATTTGCTAATTTAGCAGTAACCCAGCTTGACAAAAATAAGGACACTTCATGATATCATGAAATTATTAGTCTTAGACTAAATTTTATGATTCTTTCGTTAACCACAGGCCATCAAAGAACAATATGACTTTCATTCTTCAACTAAAGACAACAAGATTTTGGAATAAATCATTGCAGGATTTTTCTCCATTTAAAGGTGCAGTAGGTGATTGTCTTCAGAAAAATTTTTGGTTGTGCTGGTTGAAAGTTTCTTCACATTCCAATAGTAACTAGAAAAGTAAAATTCATAGACAACAATATGGTGTCTTGTTATGAATGACTTATATGCACAGGCGTGTTGTTCAGCCACTTAAATCTCCTGGTGAAAGATTGATGTGATTATTTTCAGTTTCATAAGGTTCTTTTACAGCATCTATAATGTAGATTTATATTTAGTTTAACAACAAAACACCAGTAAATAGCGCTATTCTGCCTAGCCTGCTTTACTGAGCTGAAGTTGCTTTTATATTCACATTGGGTCATTTTTGAACAATGACAGCCTTCCTCTATTGTTTACCATGCTACTCTGAATATTCTCTCTGAAATAGCATGTAAGTGTGGCTAAGTATAATAAATGTAATTCCTGCACTGCGCTGGCACTAAGTAACTGGCGAATGACCTGAACTAGTGGGTTGTCTGTCGGCTGTTGCGCGCGCTCGCGATTTCAGGGGGTGTGGCTTTGAATCACAGTCCCTCCCCGCCGTCCAAAGATAATACGCCAAGCGGTTAGCTTTTTGGCAGATCACCTACTGCACCTTTAAGTATTTAGGAGCAGCGTTTGAAGAACAAATAAAGTTAAAAGAAAAACAAGAACAAACTCACTCAGAGCTAAAATCTATTTATAATGGTAAATGTAACGCTATATTGAATGTGAAAATTAAAAAGAACAAAACAAACAACTACTTCACACAGAAGCAAAATCAATTTTATTGCCATAGTCATCAACTTTTTTTATATAACACTTATTGTTTCAAAGCAGTTTTACAATAAAAAATAAGCTGTGACTACAGAAATGCACATTGTTGTTGATTCAGTTTGGCGTTCAACAAGTTGTCAACATTCAACAGTCAATTAGGGCTGCACGATTAATTGAAAAAAAGATCACAATCTAGATTTGACCCTACACAAGATCTTTCTTAATTCAGCTTTTCTACGATTCAGTCAATTATATTTTCCAGGTCAGGAGAGAAGCGCAAAGGCAGACGCACAAGTCTTCACATTGCTTTATATAATTTGCACAGCAACATGGACACCTCAGAATGATGTTAAAAGTGTTACATACTGCATTTAAGAGATACTGCATTTCTATTTCTCAAAGTGACGGCAGCCGTGACTTAAGTGCACTCTGCAGTGAGAGTAAAAACAAAAGCGCACACATCATTTAAATGATCATATCGCATTTTAGAGTTATGATCATGAAAAGCATTTCATAGATTTTTTCTTTCATAGCTAACAGTGCTGTGCATGAAAATAAATGTTTATAAGGTTAGAATAACTACTCTAGCCCATATAATGTTGAATGTAATGAATAAGGGAATCTGATGATGACAAATGTTTTATTTTACATCTACAGAATAGTGAGAAAATCTTTAATTTTAACCCCAAAATATTGTTTTTCTCAATTTAGCCAGAATGGTGCAGCCCTACTGTCAAAGAGATCCTATTATTGAAATTATTATTACAATACAATTAAAACAACATCAACAGCTATGAATACTACTACTAATAATAATGCATTTTATTTTTTCTGCATTTTTATTACACCCAAAGCGCAAAAACTAAGCTGTTTCTATTCATTAGCAATCTTGATGACAGATCTCAACCCCTAAATTTTAACCAACTACACAGTCCCTTTAGAATAGCTAACAAACTACTAATCCAAAAACAATTCATCATGCGAAAAACAGAGAAACCACATTTGATAACCTCAACCCTCAAACGATAGTGCTTTAGTAGGTTTTTAAGTCTCCCTTTACCGCACTTTAGGAAACTACAGAGAAATTACAGAATTTCTACCAGTTTAATGAAGTCTCTTGCTATTGTATGTTACTTCAGTAGATTTTCAGGTCATTTCTGAAAACAGAGAAACTGCAGTCTTTCATCACACCATCTTGCCGTCCACTTGCCGTTTGCTACATTGAGGGCACCACATCGTTGAGTGACTGGACACTGTAGTTTTCCACCAGTCACCCAGTTCTCATACCTTACATTATCTCCATTCACCCAGATCCATTTGCCCATCAGAAAGTTCAGCCCAATCCACACATAACCACTCTCAGCATTTTTGATCTTGATCTCAGCTGTCTGCTGCTCCTCATTTGATGCCACACTGGCAAAGCCCACATATCTGTCTCTACAGAGATTCAAGGCCTCTGTCCATGATTTAGGTTCAGACACCAGGATCATAGAGCGCACTATGGCCATACAAAAGAAAGGTAAAACATCAGTACAGCTCTCATCAAACATCTCGTCGTTCTTTATAGCTCCACACGCTTGTGTGGTTGGTGCTATGTTTTCACTCATGTAATCCCTATTATCAGGTTGCCTGATGTTCCAATATTGGATCTTTGATTTGCTACTGTACCAATCCCAAGGGTTATTATACAACCCAATCCAAAGGTAAGCATTCTTTACAGATGATATTTTCTGGATATACAACACTAATGCAATCAAATCGTCCTCAGTTTTAACAATTACTAAGTCCATTTTCAATAACCTGCAGTAAGCTTGAGCCTCGTTCCACGTTTTCATGTCATTCACCAGAACTAATTCATACATTTTGGAAGAACTTCTGTTGCAAACAAATGGGTGTTTCTCAAAGCAAACGCGGTCATACCAAAATCCATTCCAGTCCATCACTGCACAAAACAAGTTGATGAACCAATGAGAGTATGTGACAGGCTTCCTGTTTCCAACCCATCTCCAGGTCTCTTTCAAAGGAGAATCCACTCCAACTGTAGCAAGACCAATCCAGAACAAACCAGCATCTAGCAAAGCAGCGATATTGTTGTTGTCTGCATCATGAAGTATTGTCGCAAGTCCAGCATAATAAGTGTCACACTGCTGTTTCGCTTCCAGCCAAGTTTTACTTTCTTTGACTATGACCCAACCTCCATAAGCCATCTTACAGACAAAAAAGAGTTTAGTATCGCATGATGTAATATACCAATACCCGGCATTGTTCATTGCAGCACATTCTCCATACCAGTTGAAATAAGTGGAATTTGTCTCATCCACCCATTTCCAATCTGAATAAAAACGACTAAGTCCAACCCAAGAGAGCTGGTTTCCAAAACTGCTTAAATTCTTCATTTCAATTTTGTCCCAGATGTCAAAAGGTAGTCGGTAGTAATTTAGGCAATAAGTCATTGCATCATTCCATGATAAACTCTTCTGCACATAGATGGTTAGCTTGATTGATCCTGGAGCGGGTCTAACAGTAGATGCATGGAGCACCAAAAGAAAGAAACTCAACAGCCCAAACATCTTGATGATGATAACACAGAGAGCAACCAACTGCTTCAAAAACCTGTCATCTTAAACTAGTCTTAGGGCTCATTTGCATGTAGTCATTGTGAATATTTGAATAGTACATTTTGAGCTACTGCTTAAAGATAATGTTATTCAAATTCCTTCTTATAAAAGAACACTGACATGAGGAAATCTAACAAGAATATTTCATAGTTGTTAGTAACCATATGGTTTAAAATTTGCTACATTCAGTGTTATAGAAGAGAACAGTATCAGAATTTGAGTTACAGCCACCTAAATTACACTTTACGTATTAATTAACAGTTGTATTTTATAGTTCTACTAAATAATTACTTATTGTATAAAAGGAATACACCATCTTTGTGTCTTTACCAATTTAAACATGCATTTCTAACCCTACCAATAAATCTGCATGTTTGTGTTTGTTCAAGAGTGCATGTATTAAAGTAAAAAGGTTGAGTTGAGATGTTGGTGTCTCTTCAGCTAATCTGTACTTTGCAATGGAAATCTTCACATCTCACAAGTGAGCAAACCTATTTGATAACTGATAAAGATTTGTGACATAATTTGTAGGGATAACCCCTACCACCACCCCAGGTTACTATCATGTTTGTAAAAATTTTTGTAATTCACAATGTGAAATAAGCACTGCTGTTTTTACCTACTCCAGGGTAATGAAACACTGTACCATACACTACAAATAAAGGTACACAAGCTGTTACTGGGGTGGTACCTTTTCGAAATGTACAAATTTGTGACTAAAAGGTCCATATTAATACCTTAAGGGTAAATATACCTAAAAACTACAATAGTGTTCCTCCTAAAATTTTAGGTACTATATACTTTTAAGGTACCATTATAGAACCATCAAGTACAAATGTGTTTTTATTCAACTAAAACCCAATGTCCTGAAAATGAAGAGTAGTTTAGCATTACATGACGTAATACATCAGAATCCAATACTAATCCAGTACTTAACACTTTAACTTGCACTATGAGAAAAATAAAGACAAATTTCTTTAACTAAATTGTGTTCCTGACACCTCTATAAGCAAATTTTGAATTTTTTTGTCTTAAAGATGACCTATGGACAGAAAATTAACCAGGCAGTTACAATGCCTGTTAAAGACTTAAGCTACCAAATGGTTCC